ATATCGAAAATTTTCGTGTTCAAAGTAATAATGCAGTTTGAGGGGTTCATTAATGGAAAAACGGAAAGGTTTTTAATTGGAATAATGGAGTGAGCCCCTTTGGGGTGAGGAATAATATAACAAATTAACAAACATTTTCGAGAAGAAAAATTGAATAATTAGCACCCTATTATGCCTCCTCACTCGACTCTAACAAATTAGCAACCATTTTCGAGGAGAAAATTTAAATAATTAGCACGCCATTATGCCTCTTCACTCGATTCTAACAAATTAACAAACATTTTCGAGAAGGAAAATTGAATAATTAGCACCCCATTATGCCTCCTCACTCAACTCCCCTCAATAGTTATACACCAGAAAGTTGAAATCACGCTAGTCGACTCCGGACTATAGACTAGTAGCAGTCTCTTACGTTTCTTTGCAAAGTTACTGCGTGCGAAACCCAAGCGCGTAACGTCGTCGTTTGCAGTCGCACGGGCTGTAATAAGAGCTAGACTGATTTTAAGAAAAAAAGCGGTCACCGCAAGCAGTCTAACGACTCCCAACACCGGAATAACGAAAGCATCGAAATCAAACCTCTAAACTGAAAGAGTCACTCGTGCGTGTTTGCAGTCGCGCGGGCTGTAATAAGAGCTAGACTGATTTTAAAAGAGAAGGCGGACTGCAAGCAGTCTAACGACTCTCAACTCCGGAATAACGAAAGCATCGAAATCAAACCGCTAAACAGAAGGAGTCAGTCGGCGTTACCGTTTTTGCGGCAAAAAGGCATACACTCGAAAATTTTCCTGCAAGAAGTCCAACCACTTCGCCATTATTCATTACATGACGAACTTGGAAGGGAAAAGTTATGCTGTTGAGGCTATTAAGGGTATATTGAATTTACTTGTGGCTTATGATTAACGAACTGAAGCAAGAGAGCCCATTTCGCAGGTTAAGGACATCGAGGTGTTGCATTATAATCCGTTTGCGGTAACGCCCATCAAGCCTATATCAATTAAGGGTTTCTGGGTAACTGAACGCCTACCTCTCCCCTTCACTTACTTCTCACTTAGGGTAAAGTTGTGCATTAAGTGAGGGGTAGGTGGTGACTTACACCCAGAAACCTCCATTGATCCCAATCAGGTTTTCCAGAGAATAAGGTTATGAGAGAAATCCAGGGTTAAAAAGATGCAAAGTGGAGTAAGCTGAAATAAACTGAGCGTAACTTAAACATGTTAAAAGACTCACAATAACCAGCAAAAAAAGTAATCAATAAAATAAAATAAATAATAACGAGATCATTGAAATTTTCTGCTCGACATAACCGTGATAACAACGTCAACAAATGGTCATAAAGAACTACTAAATACCCAAGTAAGGCACAGTATGCGTAAACCAACTACAAGGCCGAATTATTGAGCTTTTTTGAGAAAAGATAGCCCATATAGTACATATGTTAGTAATCTGAGCGTATGTATCTTCAATTGTGTGTTTGTGATATGTTTGTCAGTTTATTATGAATGACTTTCATTTTTGCAGCTACCGGATAAAACAAAAATCTTGAGATTCTGAACCTAGATCGGGGAAAAATAGTGAGAGGTGGAAAATAGCTGTAACATGTCCCAATTTCTAAGAGGAAGGACTTTCAGCTTTCCAGCGCGAATTATGGGTTTAGTAGGATGAGATCTTCTTCGTTGTTTCCGACGTGTAGACGTCTTGAAATGCTGGATTCAGGATTTTTAACAGTGGATCTGCACATTTGGTGACAACAGTAAGTCGCGGTAGGGTTCTTTGTAGGCCTGTTCTGGACTAGCCCGCGAACCGCAGACGCATTTCCGGTCGTCGCTTCTCTCCCTCCTTCCGGCGGACGAAACTAGAAACTAAAGGCGAAAAAACCGGATGCTCTTGCCGGCTAGTTCTGGACCCCCTTTTTTTCTAATAAGGGATCGTCAAGGGCGTAAAAAAAATAAACTGAAACCGCGGGGGATTTACTGACCATAAGCACAAAGGGCTGGGGTGGGGGAGGGAGAAAATAAACGGTCTGTGGGCATCTTTGGGAAGAACTGAAACTTGCTTTTCGCAGAAAAAGCAAAAGAGCCAGGAGCTAAGGGGTAAGGGAGAAGAACGTACATTTCTGTTTCCGGAGGGATTCGGTTCATACGAGCATCGACTGTTTTGAAATTTGGGCTAGTTTTGAATTGCCCCGTGTGAGGAAATCCGGATTCCGGATTCCGGAAGGCCGGAAAATTTTGTTCGTGGAATCCGGAATCCCTGGCTTTGGAATGCGGAATATAGCTCAAGGAATCCAGAATTCTACCGATTGAAACTGGGTCCAGAATCCAAGTTCCTCTGACAAGAACGGGAATCTAGTACCTGGAACCAGGAATCCACGGTGTGGAATCCAGAATTCAGGGCTGTCTTAGATTCCCTAAAATGGGCAGATTTGAATGTTATATTTTATCTCTTAAAGGAACAACTTGGGTTCAAGAAATTGTCTGGCAAATTTACCACAATGGAGAAGTCAACAGCAAACGAATTGAAGACCGTGTTCCATTCTTAGAAGAGGCTACTAATTTAAAATCTTCTCAACCAGACATTGCCAGTTTACCAAGCCCCCGCCTTATTAAGACACACCTTTCTTATGAGGCTATACCGAAAGGTGTAAACGAGGAAACAACGTGCAAGTATATTTACATCGCTCGAAATCCAAAAGATAACGCTGTATCAAATTATGAGTTTTTGACAAGCTTGGGGAAAAATACTGAATTGAATGCATCGTGGGAATTTTATGCCAATCTGTTTGTTCAGGGAAAATGTAAGTTATACAATTATTATACGTGGCAGTAATTAAATGCTTTTATAGTTGAAACTCCATTGGTTCCATGGGCACAGAGCTGCCTCCCTATCCCAGATATTGTCAACAATTGTCAACCATATCCCATAGTAACTATAAGGCAATATTAGTTTTATATATTTTCTGTATACGATGATGATATTTCTCTCTTCGTAAATTTAATGGTTAGCGGTTTAAGATTGTTAAAGTCGTGTTTTCCATAGAGATCTTCAAGAGTTTAGATCTTGGATGCCAGGAGCTCATGACTAGAGTAGTCATGGGCTCGTGTGGACAGAGAAAGAATGTTTGTTTTTTTCGTCTTATGTGGTAACACGTGTCAAAACACGTCAGTCGAGGTTGTACTGTAGAGTCGACCCGGGTGACACATGCTGTAATTAAAGTCATTTTAGGGCATATTCGGAAATGTCCCATTTGGCAAAAAGTACAAATGCTTAAAATTCATCCCAAATGAAAATTTATTATTGGTCTGCTGCAGGTACGTTGAAAAAGTACGAACTGGCGCACAGTCGACTCTCTCTTAACGGACACCTCTATAAGACGGACACCTCTGTAAAACGGACACCTGGAGATGGTCCCTGTCTTTGCTTATTCCCTTTATTTGACTCTTTATAAGACGGACATCTCTCTAAGACGGACTCTTAGTGCCGGTCCCAAAGGTGTCCGTCTTGGAGAGAGTTGATTGTAATTATTTCAGTACAGTAACTCTCTCCAAGACGAAAACCTTTGGGACCGGCACTAAGTGTCCGTCTTAGAGAGATGTCCGTCTTATAAGGAGTCAAACAAAGGGAATAAGCAAAGGCAAGGACCATCGCCAGGTGTCCGTTTTACAGTGGTGTCCGTCTTATAGAAGTGTCCGTTAAGAGAGAAGCGACTGTAGAATGTTCGAGTAATCTTGCTATAATACCTTAGAAAACTCAGACGGGAAGAACGAATGTAATGCCTAGGAGTTTGATTTCATTGTCGGGTAGCTCAGCTAGGATGGGTTCAGTCCATGCTGAGCTACAGGAGCCTATCTTTCTGATGGGCTTCTGTGGTAGCATCGCTCTATTGTGAGATGAAGAAGGTGATGCATATTTTGCTTACGGGGTGTCGGTCTGCAAGTTGAACCTGGGGCGCGGCGTAGTACGTAGGATTCAAATTTGAATTCTCATTTGTTGCCCCAATTCACTTCCTACGGAAGTAGTGGGGAGAAGTTGATAAATATCAAGCAAATTCATCTTGTGTGATTATGTACGTAATTCTCATGACCACTCTGTTTTACAATGCATTGATATTACGGGAGAAATTTGATGCTGATCACTAATAGGGCTTAAAGGATTAATGCCGGGACGATATCACTGCGATGGTAAAGTCAGCGAGCTTCTTTTTCATAGCGCAGGGCCCAAAAGGAGTGACCCAAATAAGTAGCTATAGTGTAAAATGTTAAGGCTTGTTAACTATGATCACTGTTAGATTGTTTATTTCGGAGAGAGGTAATGAGCCACAGGTCTAAAAATTATCAACGTAGTTCTAAAGGGGATAGGTGCGATATAACATAGCACCATAGTGTGTCGCAGACCGTCGCCAAATTTAAGAAATAGCGTCCGTGAACTCCGGAGACCAAGCATCCTCGGAGACCCAGGGGCGGATAAAGGGGACGAGGGAAAGTCTAAACGGGCGGAAAAATATAAATGAAACGAAGAAAAGTAAAGAACGGCGAGAAGAGCCCCTGGGGACAATGTCTTACCAGACCAGTTCCAAACGGTCGCCGCCGTTCTGGCCTCTGATTGGTGCCAGAAAACTTGTGTTTTTCTGGCACCAATCAGAAGCCAGAACGGCGGCGACGGTTTGGAACTGGTTTGGTAAGACATTGACCCCAGGGGCTCTTCTCGCCGTTCTTTACTTTTCTTCGCGCCACATTTTTCCGTCCGTTTAGACTTTCCCTCGTCCCCACTATCTGCCCCTGGGTCTCCGAGGATGGAGACCAAGCGGAAGAAACATGTTGAAGAAATAGCCAGTACGTGGAGAATCGAACCCTAACCGTCAGATATGACTAGGAGGGAAAGGGAACCAAAATGCTCCCAGTCGCCGGCTTCTATAAGGATATATTGGAAGGTGTCTCATTGAAAGGTCGAGTTTGTTCATATTTACATATTTTCTCTAAACTGGTTATGATGCTTCTTAAGGTAGTAGAGACAAGTAGTGTTAGAGGCATGGCAAAAACCTTCATGACTTATTAGTCTTTATCCACCTACACAATTGTTATTCATTGCAGCAACCTGGAGTCACTGGGATAAACATGTACTTGGATGGTGGAAACACAAAGACGATGCTAACGTTTTGTTCCTTAAATATGAAGACTTGAAAAAGGTTTGTTATCATTGTCGGAGAATTACCGGTAAAGTCATTTTCAGTTTTTTGAAATTAATTCTGTCACATTAATTTGCTTTGCGTTGATTAATGCTTAGTGGTGGGTAGAAAACCGAATTGAATTAAGCAATTACTGAGTGAGGCTGGGTATCATCTAAAGAATTATGGAGATTGAGGAGGGTGCGGATAGCAACCTCCTGGTTTAAAAACAAGCTAAAACAGGCTTACCTCCATCGATGTTAAGTTCATCTTCGATAGTGCATGTTTATCGGCAAGTTTAGGAGATAAAGGGTTGTTCAGTTTTGCAAATATTTTCCAAATAGCAGATCCTGAGATGTCGTCCGTCGAGTTGTCTTCTTGCTGTTCTTGCCACGTTTTTAGCTAATAGTTTGCCTTTTTTCTTCCTCGTGAAACGAGTGAAATGTTCATACATTTTGTATTCACTACCGAAACAGCTCATCCTCGTCCCCAGGTCTTCTCGGGTAACCGTTCAATAACCTGGCAATTTTGCTGCACGATTGACATCATCAGTTCACATTTCGTAAAACTCTTCCCAATTTGGTCGACAGTAGCTGGATGTGATGAACTATGCGTGGGATTTTAGCCAACCAGAGACAGAGAAATATTTTGAATGAATAATAATATGCTTTATACAGAGGAGAAGTGCGACGTCACATTACCATGGAAAAACATGCGCTATCCAGTTTTGCCCCCGAGTGCAATCATGCCTATGAAAGTCATTCAAATTATTCAAATCAATTGCGATATTTGTAACAACACGGTTTATAGAGATCGAGAAGTTTTGCTACCATAGCAACGTGACGTAACGACTTCTCTTGTGATCCTGTCCATCACATGTCGTTTTTAGCATAACCATGCTTGAAACAAACCTCTGATATTTAATTTTATATTGTAAAGTAGCTCTGCCTTTCAGTTAGTGATTGGTTAAATTATTATTTGAGGAAGCCGTTTTCTTTTAAGTCCTGTGATTTCCTTGAGCGTCCTCGCCATTTGGTCATCGTTTGTTATGTACTAGGATGTATATGGAAAAAAATAAACTTGGCACTTGAAACTTATTTTGTTTTATTAGTTTCACATCCGAACTAAACATGGGAAGAGGATTGACAAGTAGCCTCAAACTCAGACGTTCTTTTGGCTAGTCACGCAATCCTACCTTGGTATTCTGCGCTGAGCGTCAATGGAATAGCCTTCCACGCCGACGTTCTTTGTGTGGGGAAGTAACACGTGACAAAGCGCGAAGAACGTCTGCGTGGGAGGCCAGCATTGGCCGGGACAACGCACCAAAATTCTAAAGATTCAGAGTCTGAATTCCCCATCTTCTCTACCAGTTTTCAAGCCCTTTTACCCCTTTGTTTCTTCTCCTTAGGATCTTCTAAGCCATGTTCGTATGATCTCCCAGTTCCTGAACAAGCCCTTGTCAGATGAACTCCTAAGTCGCATAACAGAGCAGTGTACATTCAATGGAATGATGAAAAACCTGAAAAGTTACCTTCTGTGTGGAACAGAGGCTGGAGCAAAATTTCTCCGAAAGGGCGTGGTGGGGGACTGGAAGAATTACTTTACTCCAGAGCAAAGTGAGAGATTTGACAAGGAATTGTTAGCAAAATTAGACGGGACTGGATTAGTGTTTGAAATGTAGCAAACTTGTTTTCATTAAATATAGTCGAAATTACAGAAGAGGCCTCTTAACACTTTGGGGAGACTGCGAAAGGATTCCTTCGCTGCAGAGCCAGGAATAACAGATTTGATAAGGACGGCTGTGCTTGAATTTGAGAACTGAAGCTGATATAATTTTTGTCAGATTGTATCGAACTTTGAAAAGAATCTGTCAACCACTTTAATGAAATAAAGAAGGGTGTATCGTTTGCTGGTCCTGATAAAGCTGGTGTCAATTTACTGAGCGGAACACCGATTGGTTTAGTCATGTGCTGAAGGTTCGGATTTTTTTAGATCTTTGACTGCAAGACCTTTATGCAAGACCTTCGTGTTTTAGCATTTCCACTTTGCGTCCTAGTTCTTTATGAAGAATTGGTACCATCTTTCCTTTATCTAAAAAAGCTTTTCTTAGTTTTCGGTTTGAGCGCCGATTGTCGTAAGTCAAGGTTAATCTTTGACAATTTGGGGCTAAACAAGGTGAAATCTAGCCGGTCTCCCCTTTGAATGTTACTTCACTGAAGTGACCCCCCCTAATAACATTTGATGACTTTCGTGATCCCCCCCACCATGTCTTCATTTTCCAAGCAAATTTGAGTGGTCCCCACCTCTGAATCTTTCCAATGTTTTCAGTGATCCCCCTTTTTGTTCTCTAAAAATCAAGTGACCCCCCTCCCCGCCAGGCGATAAATAATGACCGGTCGACTGACCGGTCCCTTAGGATGGATTTGCGTTGGCCGCGCTCGCCCCAGGAATATTAAATGAAATGCCAGGATAGCCTGTTCCAGGCGTTCAGATTGTAGAGGGCGGGAAAAAAATTCAAGAAGAAGAAAAAAAAACGCAGGGAGACTAGAGGGGGAAATGGGGAGGGAACAAAAACAACAAAAACAACAAATTTTATTGAAAATTGGAAAATAACTAATTACATTACTTTCCCACCCGCAAATAGCTTATGAACTAATCGAGGCGGGGGGAGCTGAAGACATATTACAAAACAAGAATTATATATAGATGGACTAAATAACAGTGAAGACACTACAATACAGTAAATAGAGTTTAAACTAACATAAAACAAAAAACAAAAAAACAAGGCATGTACATAACGATTACGAAGAGAGGTTAACTAAAGTATTAAATAACTTAATAAGACGGGAGACTTCGACATAATCATCTTCTGACCGCAAAAAATTTAGTAATAATTCCTTTATTTTTTTACGAAAGGACGAACGTTTAAGTATTTTAATCGAATACGGAATAGAGTTCCAAATTTGGGCACCGATTCTCGTGAAAAAGGCATACATTTTATCGGTTCTAGAGAACTTAACATAAAACGAGTCGCTAGAGACAGATCTTGTTCTGTAGTTATGAATCTGACTTGTTTTAACGAACTGATTGAGAATACTAACTGGTGCTGTCTGTCTGTTGATATCATACAATAAATAGCTACAATCTCTGAAAAATATGCTGGGCAGGGGAAGGCAATTTGATTTGAGAAAGAAGGGTACGGCGTGTTCCTTAGACTTACTGAAGTAAATGAGACGTAAGGCCCGTTTTGTAGAGTTACGATCTTTCGTTGAAATGTCAAGGCACAATTTCCCCAACCACAAATACCATAAGTCAAGTAAGGGACAATTAATGAGTTGTAAACTGAAAGTAAAACACGACGCGGGACATAATGTCGAATTTTAGCTATAATTCCTATCGACTTGCTGATTTTGTGACAGACAGATTCGATGTGGTATTTCCATGAAAGATTTGAATCAATCATTAAGCCAAGGTATTTTACATAATCTTTCATTTCAAGGTTTGCGTAGGTGTTAGTCACGGAGTCAAAATTCTAATCCTAGGTATGAAGGGCATATTCTTTTGCCGGGGACGAAAGATTACAAAATTTGATTTTTTTATGTTCAAGGACAGTTTGTTGGCCTTTAGCCATTCGTTGACGTTGCCAAGCTCGCGATTAACAAGTGTTTCGAGTTCCTTTAGGTTGTTATTTGCAAGTATTATACTAGTATCGTCAGCAAATAGATAAAAGGCAAATAACGAAGAGGACTTGTAAATATCATTGATGTACAGTAGGAATAAGAGTGGTCCGAGGACTGAGCCTTGTGGCACGCCGCAGAAGGTCGTTTCAGCCTCAGACACAACATTATTAACTTCCGTAGTTTGCTTCCGATCAGTCAGGTATGATCTGAACCAGGAGTTTATTACACCTCTAATACCATAATTTTCAAGTTACAACAACAATTTTGTTTACAACAACAATTTGTTAACAATGTTTACAGGCATTCCCTCGCTCTCGCCCCCGCCTCGTGTCCCCCCCCCCTCATTTTCCCGGTGTACAATTTGACTCGCTCCCCACTGACCGCCGCGCTCTACTATCTGAACGCCTGGAACAGGTTAATGCCAGGAGGAATGAACGTGTGTTTGAAGGGATTCAATGAATATCTCCATGAGTGGATCCGGGGGTAATCCCTTATATAAGTTATATAGGTATGTGCCGCCCCATCGGATAGGGTTTTTGCGCTGTTTTGGTCTGAAAACGGGTATACACTTTGCCCATTTTGGTCTGGAATCGGGGATGGTTTTCGAGGGAACTACGGGAGTATATGGACGTATTTAACGCTTCAATTCCAAATGAGTCAGAAAGGAAGAGAAATATGCGAATTTGAACTGGATTTGAAGAATTGTTTTGTTTGCGCTCTAAGCTAAGTAATGATAACATAATCTCTGCCTAAAGGCCAGATGTGAAAACGGGTATGGATTTTAGAGGTCTGGTCTGAAAACTGGAGTGGAAAATGACATTTTCTGGTCTGCAATAGGGTCAGGATTTGGAGAACCAGGCGGCACACCCCCATCAGGAATTCCGAGGAGTACCTCCCCCGGAGAATGGATTGAACATATTTTTCCGTTTTTGCATTGAATCAGTGGGGGGAAATAAGGTAACTGTACTGTTTTCCACCTAAGTTTCTTGTCCCACTCCGCCTGCCAGTATGACGTCACCTAGTAACGGGCAAGAGCCTCGGGTCGCTTGTGCAACTTAGCAAGGGATACGACAGTTATGTGAACGAGGGAGGTCGAGGAAAAGCTAAGAAGCTAGCAAATATCGCTATATATCGCTTATTTGATGAAGATAGATTTTTACCAGAGGTCTAAACAAAATTTTAGGAACCTTAAATGCACGAACCTGTGGACAGATATTTTTTATCAGGGTTATGGGCTCCTCATATTTTCCAACTGTTCAAATTCTGTTTGCAATTCCATACCAATGCAATGGGTCGTTTTAGTCTCATGAAGGAGTAACCATAATTGAAGGGGGACAGGAGGAGTGGTAGGGAGGCAGTATTCTCCCGCACAGCTCCTTTTTTTTGTCTTCGTGTTGCGTGAAAATTGAAACCAAAACGGCTGCGTATAAGACTACTGAGGTAGCTTAAATGGGCTGTGTCACGGCAGTCCAGTTCATTTTGTTTAATTTTGCCAGTTAATCGCCCTCAATCGCTATGGAACTTAAAGTACGGTAAGCAAAGAAATTACTTGTAAATGACACGAGCAGAGATTCGAGACAAACAAATATGTCTCCTAAGCATTATTTTGAAGTTGCAAACAGCGGAGATCAACTTTGAAAAACTGTTAGGCTGAACAGTTTTCAAAAACCCTAATTTCAATCCGTTTCAATCTTCTTCAGTTTTGCCCATCCATGGCATCTGTTGTATCTGTTATGATATTTTAACCTTCCTGTTTTAAGAGGTTATTTTAACGTTTCTCTTAATTTAACGGGCATTTTGTAATTACCTAATTTGGCTGAATTTCGTGACAAAGCTCCTTTAATGTAAATGTGTTTGTACGACAGCAATCTCGACTTGAATGAATGGCAATTTACATGAACCAACCTGTAATAAGTGTTCGCAAACTTGTAAGGCGTCTGACCAACCACATTGTTTGATAATATGCAGATCCTGATTTTGTGCTTGATTCGTGAGCAGGATTCAATAAGTTTGCCAACCAATAAACATTTCCAAGGGCTTTGAGGGAAGGGAAGTTTGGAGTGGGTTCTCAATCATAATGCAGTTCCTCTTCCTCACTACATGTAGTCTCCTAAACAGTCATTGTGGTGTGTCTATCATCACGCAACGAAACGGCACACAAAAAAAGCTGCGTAAGTGAATACTTCCTCCCTACCTCTCCTTATGTCCCCTTCAAATATTGTTTCTCCTTCCAGACTAAACTGAACCCATGTATGGAATGTAGGAAAAATGTGAGCCAGAGTATTATGACTTTTTATTTAAAGAAACTCATTGTTCATTTAAGGCTGAATTACAAAGCTAATTAAAATCGTAAAATAATATAGCTACTTACAATTGTAAAAAAAATAATAATAACAATAATATTGTACAAAAATAGATAATAAATCCTTTAATAGTGATAATATAAATTAACACATTTTCTTCAAATTAAGGTTCCTAAAATTCGTTTAGACCTCTGGAAAAGTTCATCTTCAAAAATTAGGGGTGATCCACGGGGGTATAGTCCATGGACCGGATCCACGAAGAGGTCCATGGACTAAGTCCACAAAGGTGGTCCATATTTTGTAAACGTCCATGAAAAAGTGGCTTTTAAGGGATTCAAGCTCCAGACAGTTATGACAAACCACCCACATTACTGATAATGGCTATAATCTTAAGGCAATTGCCGTCTGAAATTTCACATTGAACTGCCATAGTGCGTGTGATCTTAACTCAAACATGGTTAAATCTAAGGCCTGTTTCAAACGTCGTGCTACTGCCGTGCTAAGCTGGCTCGACTGTAGTTCGACTGCATGACGACACTAGCACGACTTGGTTTCAGGTCGTCGAATTTAATTCACACAATGACAGTCGAATGGAACTGCTGTTGCCAAAAACAAAACAAAAATAAAGAAACGGTTTGGCAAACTTTTGAATATATTCTAATGTATTTATAATTTATGAATTGAGTTCGGCACGGCGGTAGCACGACGTTTGAAACCAAGTCGAGCTACTGCCGTGTAGCACGGCAAGGCTTGCCGTGCTACAAGGCAATAGCACGACTTGGTTTCAAACGTCGCGCTACTGCCGTGCTAAAGTCGAATTTAATTCGATCAACTGAGTTCGGCACGGCAGTAGCACAACGTTTGAAACGGGCCTAAGTGGCGATTTTCTAGGCGCTAATGGACAAGCCACTGATAAAACTGCAGGAGAAGTAACCTCAACGTTGCAAAAGTGAGATACAAAAATAAAAATAAAAAATTAATGTACCGGTGTCGTTTAGTACGTGGGTTATAAATTCTAGAGTCAAGAAAATGCGGTATATTTTTAGATTAGAAAACAAACAAACAAACTAAAACAAAACTGAAAAAACATTGTCACTTACAATTAAGACATAACAACAACAAGAAACTTTAACTTTTATTTTATTCGTAGATAACTGGCAAGCCAGACGTTCTTACAAACTAACATTATGTATCTGAATTAGAAAAATATAGTTTACACAACAGTCACTTTCAGCTTTTTTTTTTCCTATTTAACCAAATACCGCACCTTCAGAGGAGGAACAAAAACGGAATTTGAGGTTTTAACATTATTCAGTTAAAGGGAACCTCAACTGTAGTAAAAATTTGACTTTAACTTACAACTGTATAAATGAATACTTAATTTCAACTCTTTTTTTCCTATAAAGGGAATGGAGAATTTAAAAATTGGATTTTTGGTATGCAACAGCGGCCGGAACCAAAATGCAACGACGGGCAAAGAAATGCACGAAAAAGCATGATGCACGCGCAACATTATTGATTTGCTTGTTTAACCTATTATGTTTCTTTGCCGTTCTCGTTGCCGTCGCCGTTGTCGTTACTTAAGCTCTCCAATGGCCAGAGCAAAATGTGCTAAAAAATTACAAAATCATGTGTCGCGCGGGAAATTTTATAGCAAAAACAGGCGATTTTTTCCTTATGGTATTTACTTTAACTACTGGAAGTTCCATCTTCTTTAGAACAGAGTTCCGGTCACATTGATATAACAGTGGAGGTCCCCTTTTAACCCTCTCATTCACAAATGTGGCAAAAGTAAATATTCCACAAAATTTCTTTTTGGAAAAGATGAAGAGCAAAAGGTTTCATATGAAAGTACTCAGTCAAAGAGTTTTCATTTCAATTATTTGAATGGTCACACCGCTGAATTTGGTCGATATATTCAAAAGTTAGAGTGACCTTTAATACGTCCAAGACTTCATCATTCACTCAGGGAGACAGAGGGTAAAGACGAGTAGCAATCATTCTACGGCGCTAACGTTCTAGGTCGTTTCGCAAACGCTTTATCGAATGGTGTCTTTTTCAAATCGGATATAGAACGTTAGAGAAATGACCCAAGACGTTAACGAAACGCTCGGGCTCACGCAGTCCTTTGAGGAGCACGTAACCACCCTGTACGAAAATGTCAAAGAATAAACTGTCAAATTGATTGCACGTCGTAAAATCAAAGTAAATAAAGTAAGGTTAAAATGCTCTACAAAATCTCAAAACTACTTTAATTTTAGACTAGCGGATTGTTGCTTTACGATTTTTACCTTTCTGGCAAGGCCATAATCAAACTCAGACTATTATTTAGAAATGCAACACAATTTTGAGCTAACAAACTACGAACTCGTCCTCTAATTTCATGAGTCATCTTTCTCAGTTGCAATTCTAACGCACACTGTCACACATAGGCAAATAAAGTCAACCATGGGCTATCACATCTTACGTTCACTTACGATTTATTTATTTATTTTAATATTTTTTTAAGAAATAAAATTATCATTACGAGACAGTTAAAGTCAAAGGACAACGGATCTGGAAATGCAAGTCGTTATGCAGAGATTCATTTTAAAGGCGAAGCCTCCATTGCTATAGAAATTGGAAATCTATTGATGCGAGAAAATTTGGATAAGACGTCACCGTACGCCCTTCCGCCCGTACAGACTGTCAGGAAGGGATAGAGTAGATCGCGGGAAAGGGATGAGGGAATCCAAGACAACAGCTTGCGTTTGGCTTGGCAAAAAGTTAACCTGTTCACCTAAGGGGAGCCACTGGAGAATGTTCCAGTCAAAATCTTGAAACTTTTTTTCTTAATTTGAAGTTCTATTTTTTAAGGCTTTGCTTTTAGCTTGGTCACGCTCCAAGATCAATCTAGTCTCAGACTGGCCAAAGTTTTGACACACGGAAACACTGCATCTTGAAGTTTCATCATCGACAACTGAAAACGTTGTGTAATTTTCAGTTTTAAACTGAATTTTTTTCGTTCTTTGAATGCCGTCACACCTTGAGACACAGCTACAAGCTGCTATCAAGACTCTTTTGTTGTTCAAAGCTGGTTTGATGCCTTTATTTATTTATTTGTGGTTGAGGAAAGCGTCACATAAACGGGATTCACAGATGGCTGCGTTTTTGAACGTTCATGCAGGCGTTTAAAGCAAAGTGCGTTTCTGACCTCATTTGCTGCCTTTCAGGAGCTGCTCATCAGGTGAGGTTGATTACTGTTAAAATGTTTTTCTGTCTGGTTTGAGCTGTGTATGATGTGGGGTGTAATTAAGTATATCAGTTTACACTTAACATTATAGTTGCCGGGTTTTCACTTTGTATCAATTTCCTAAACTTATTCTAGTGATAGTATCTGAAATATCCCTATGCAGTAATCGATTCGCAGCATTTGTGACCTGTATTTGCCGTTTACCTAGTGTTCTTTACAAACGATTTATGATTTCATTTCTTGTGGTGGTAGAGCTCTTAAGTCTCATTTGCTTTCATCAGCAACTTCTTTCCTTACAATACGTACGATTTGCCCAAAAAGCCTATGTACTCTACCGATTGACTTTGATCATTGTTTTGTATCCTGCGATATGAACTACTTCAATTATAAAACCAACTAGTTACCCAGTGTATTTCAAAGCTCACAGGTGACATTATGGTTCTCTCGCGACTTCATGTTGGGATACGCGATGTTTAACCTTATTGATCAGCCCCTGAATTTTCTGATTGATCTCCATCGCTGTCTTCATTACTGTCAGAAAGACACATAAAATCCATCTCTTCTACTACTTTTGAAGTGTCCGCGTTCTCAGCAATCTGTTCAGCATTGGGGCAAACTGCTCCAGTGGGGGTTAACACATTGTGCTCTTTCCTCATTCCTTCCAGTTGAAACCGCTCTAATGACAACATCTCGGATTTTAATCCGTTCAGACTTATTTGAAAGAATCCTCCAAACGAAGCACAAAAAACTACTTTGTTTTCTTTTGGGGACACGGTCATGAAAGAAATGTTGTCACCCTCCCGTGGAATTCTAATAAACGAAATGGCTCTCCACTCAAGTAAGTCCCACAAGAACACAGCACCATCAATACCATATGATATGATGTAGCGATTCCCATTCAAAAACCGACAAAACTCGATTTTGCCTAAATGGGCTCGAGGTAGCTCGTTCAAATAGGGCTGATTCGTAGGACTGTTAAGCGAGTAGAGTAGGATTCGATCTACAACGCAACAAGCCAGTAGATCATTGTTCCGAGAAACGGTACAGTAGGTAATCTTGTCAGTCTCGTTGTAACGCACATCGAGAGCTTGTCTTGTTAATAAATGACATGGACTTGCTGCCTGATCCCATATCTCGATATAGAGCTCAGTGCACAACACTATTTTGTTATCAACAGTAAAACAGCAGCAGAAATTCTCAGAAAGAAGCCCTGGTGGGTCAAATGACTGTGGTTCTACCTTCTTCCTTACGTTCCAAACAAACGCGAAGGGCCAATTCCTGTCCCGTAGGATACAAAAAAGAAGTAAGGCATTGTCAGCTGAGAATATAAGCTCAACGACTTTAAATTCGTAGTCAGGTTCAAAAACGGAACATAGAAACTGACAACCGTCTTGTCCGATTGCATCGTGTAACGTTATCATGTTGCCATGGTGAGCGGCAATAAGCTTTCCGTCCGAAGAAAATGCGCATTTCTTCACTTGCCAAGGGCCAAGCGAACCTGAGAGACGTTGAGAAAATAAAGTGTCAGTACATCGTTCACCAGTTGCTTGAAACGACGCAACTAATGAGTCCACATAAAGAACCAGGAAAGTGTCATCTGTAACAAAGTTTACTTGCATTGGTTTTCTAGCGGATGGAATAAGAAAATGTTTCAAAAAATCACAAGGGAAGTCTTGCAAAAGCAGAGTTTTACCTTCGTCATCGGCCTGAAAATGATAGCCAGCTTGCCCTTCAAAATTGAAGAATAACGGGCTAACTCCTGAGACGCTCTGCAGAATGGTGCCCGACTGGAGGGAGAAAGCGTGAAGTGTGTCGTGAACACTTAAGTACAAGAAAAATGAGTGGTCATTTGTGAAACCGAATTGGGCGACCTCCTTTATGACGTATTCTGGGTTGTTGGAATGTTGCTGCTGATATGGATGTATTACACGAAACAAGAAGACCCCAGTCTCAGCATCGTTAACAAACGCTTTGGCCACCCATATCACTCCTGGTGGTGATAAGCAAGGTATACTGTCACAGAAAAACACTTTTTTGCCTTCATCAGGGAGATTTGACAGTTCGAACGCTACTATAGGTGAAACTGTTGACAAGACTGAAGCCCTTTCTATTGCTTCATAAGTGTCATCGTTAGATAAGTCGGTAAATGTATAAGTCGATGAGGCTGAGGCTTTCTCTCTTAACTCTTCAATAGTTTCACCGACGGCGCAGGTGCGAGGTTCAACTAGATTCTGTTCAAGGTCCCATAACCTCATGTAGGCGTGGAAGCTGTCCAGAACAGTAGTGGTGCCGGTCTGGAGACAGAGGGCACATCGAAGGAACTCATGAGTCTCATAAAGAACTATATCGTCCTCCACGCGAGCATAGCGTTTGACGTCTTTAATGACACGTGCCACGTTCTGGCTAACGACGCTACCTTTATCCACTTTAAAGCTAACTATTCCATCAGGACCAGGCCGATACCATTTGAATGGACTACGTGGGGGCAGAAAAGGATAAAAAACATAGAATTCTACCAATTTACTTACTTTACGGAAGAGAAGGTGATGACAAATAGTGCTTAGTAACGCAATATTGGAGAGTGACAAAGCTTTACCCGTGCCGGTAAAAAGTGTGCCACATACCTCAAATGCTGTGCCCAGGTGAAAAAAATGAATAAAGGGGCCCACCTCGACACGGCCGGAAGATGAGGATAGATTAAGCACAGGTTTACCCGTTTGCATATCAAAAACTTGATATTTAAATACCTCAGAGTAGTGGTCAATAACAAACTGACGAACTTCTTCCAAGGTTAATGCTTCATAGTCTTTTGCTGTTTTACAGCTCTTACAACTTGAAACCAGAAACGTTCCATCTCCTCTAGTAAGTCGTACCTTTTGTAAAAGTGAACACCATTCTTCCTGCTTCATTTCGCTGAGGAGATCTAACAATGGCCTCATTGCTGTAATGCGCGAACCTTGATAGGCTGCTAATTGGGAATATTTTCTTGTCACTTTCAGCTTGTCAGGAAAACATCGACATAAGGGTTCTCTTTCCCGGCTCTGTGCAATTTCCAATTTGGCCCACAAACAAAGGTGATTTAAAAGGCACAACCAGCACTTGGGAGTAAGTAAACTCTTACACTTCACCACGATGTGTTGTCGATCATGGGTAAACGAAAACCATTCAGATGAAAGATGAACTGTTTGTGATGGGAAATATGTTTCAATAATTCCTCGTTTTACTGAGAACGCTCTATCAAATTTTCCAAATAAGACAAAATTACCACAGGAAGAAAATACCAGACGTTTTACGTCTACCAATTCTTCTGTTTTGACTGGGCCAAGCAACCTTTCAAGGGAGCATGAATTGTACAACGAGATGCATCCGTTTCTGACTTCGGCTAAAAACTTCCTATCAGGAGAAAAAGCGAAGCAACTCCTGACCTTGTTACCAGTGGCTTTAGGAGCAGGGAAAGGAAGCCAGCTGCACTCCATCCAAGTGGTGGACACTCCATCGGGAATTGTCATGTTTAATTTGACAGCTTTGGACACCATTTGCAGGCAGGAAGGAAGAAGATGTGGACATTCCAGAAGAGTATGGGTATTTCTTTCCAGCGCTCTGCAAACTCCTTGCAGAATTTCCTTTTCAGTATCATCAAGAGTCTGTGAGCAAGCAGAAAGCTTGAGATCACCAATCACAGAATAAACGCCAATCCGGCTTTTCTGTATTCTGTGCTGGATAAAATGGTAGCTGGTCATGCAGTTGTAAACGATCTTCATCGAACATGCGTCATCGTAACCACACAAAACACGAACGCCAACATGCAAGACATAGTCCAGAAAATCTTTTTCGACAGACGGATGTTTCTTCGCGGATGAGAAGTCCATTACAGAGGGAAGAAATTCCAGAACAATATTTTTTAAGCACTCACCTGCTTTGGTAGTGTCGACAAAAAATCGTCGAGCTTTGTTCCTGTCGGTCAGCCAGGATGGGATTAAGTTGTGAAGAAAGGCAAAGGTCAGATCAGAAGCTCGGAGTACCAAAAATATTGAAACGGTGTCAATAACTTCTTGTTCGTCCAGGTTTGATTTTTCCCTCTTTAGAAGGAATGAAATAAATGACCGCGGAAGAGGAGAAGGAGAAGCTGCAACACAACCGAACAAAGTTCTGAAGAGATCTGCTCCCACTTTATCAAAAATGCGCTTGAAATTTACATAAAAAAAATCATCAATATCCCCTGGGAAAAGTTCAGTCAGTTCACCAATGTTACCTGAACATGCTAAATTATTTAACACTTCTACCATGTAGAACGCGTACAAGAACAACCCACTGCACTTCTTTGTTACGATTTCAACTGTGCATGGGAGACAGGAAAAATCGACTCTTTTCTCCAAAAATTGCTTTATGTCCTGCTCGTGCTGCTGATAAACATTAAGATGTTTGCCGTACCCAGCGCATATTTTAACGCAAGGGTTATAATTTTTCAGAGTGAACTGCACGGTATCCTCAGGGCGACTGGTAATAAAAAACAAAAGCCACTTTGGAAGCCGGGGAAAACGGTGCATAACCAGATCAAGAAAATCGTCCCTGGACTTGTACTCTGTCTCATCTAGAGCGTCAATAATGACTAATTTTCTTTGTTCACAAGGCGCGCACTTACCTAAAGGTTCTTGTAACAGTTTCGTAAACAACCCACCAATACTTAACTTACTATTGGCTAATGTCATTCTTACACCACCCTCCCCTCCCACCATATTACTGTATTGAACACTACATTTACAAAGTTGGCAAGCTATAGTACCTAAAAGACATCTGGGATCATTTCTTGTCTCGTCATTGTGACGACAAAAGAAAGCAGCGCCTAAGTACCCAGCATCCTGTGCCCGCTTTGCCAGGGCTCCTGCTATTACACTTTTGCCAACTCCCGCATCACCCAGGAGAACATAAGCTCTGGAGTCACCAGGAGCATGGAACCAACTGTTAATATCTCCAAAGAGCCACTCTCTCGTTTCTGGATCATGTCGCTCGCTGAAAAAGGCGATATCGGCTTCAAAATTGGAAATTTCTACGGGGAAAAAAGGACGAAAAACAAAGTGCTTAGACGAGTACGAAAGCTGAATTACATTTCAGTGATCCACATTTCCTTACTTGAGTAAAAACCTTTTCTATTAGACTTCCAACAACAGCTTGGTCTTCACTGTAAATCCATTATAACACATGAATTACACAGAGATTGAACTTTATTATATCTTTTTTGCGATCCGAATGAATATCACGTGACAATGACGTCACAATTGTTTTTGCTCCTCATTGAATTTCAGTCCTAAGTCGTATTTCCCCTGGGAATGCACTACGCTACGTATACTTTGGTGCTTTTCTGCTTTGCGAAGTTTCACAAAAATCTATATGTTAGGAATCAGTAAAGATACTGTAGGCTACTTACTAGATGTTTCTGGAACGATTTTACAACTTATTCGTTTAAAAAATGTCTCTTTAACATTCACCAAACCGCTCGAGAGAGCTACACATGCGCGATTTCGAATAACAAAATGTATATCTAGTCGGATTTTACAAAAACGTTACCGCCAAATGGACCTTTTTGTGTCCAACGGTTTTTATCCGGCAAAAACCACAGCAGCCATTATAAAAAGTAAGAGTGCAACCATTGCTTTTTCCTCTTCTCCTTCTTTCTTCCTCGTCGCTCTTTCTTTTTCCTTTGTTAGTATTTTGATTTTGCAGCTTATCAAGCCTCAAAAACCTGCCTTTTGACGCCATTTCACACAAATGACTGCTATTTTCGTTGGGTTGGTTTTCAGAAAATCGGCTAGATATACATCACGGTAATGCATAATACTGAGCTCTTTTTGCAATTTGTAAGGCGACTTTTACGAAAATAAGTGATAATATCAAAATTCGTAGATAGATTTACTTCCATTAAAATTTTCGGAGCTGCAATTGATCAGCGTAACAGGCTACAAAATCGCTGAATTTCATTGTTGTCCAATGAAAGTTGTCTATAACGTTTGCACAAAATTTGAATAAAAGTTGAAGTTATGGATAATTTTACGCGTTTTAGTCATTCAATGGGCAGATCGCGTAATGTTTTTCATCAAGTGGATTTATTGCGAATATTAATTTTGGTAACTTCGCTTATTATAAAGTTCTCTTGTAAATGAAAAATTTAAAGCTTTAAATGTAGGTTTGCAATCATCACCTTTTTGTATTTTGGATACGTTTTCCAATATCATTGAAACACCACAGGATTAAACAAAATTAAACAGAAGCTAAAGTTTGAAAGATAATAAGAATAATCATATTTACCAAAACTGACTTGAGGAAGAGAAGATCTAAGTTGCTCTTCCACTTGTGTTACTCGTTGTTCTACAAAATCATGGTCTGACTTTAGAGACTTGAACTTTCCTCCCATAGCTCTCTGTTCATCTTGAAAGCTTTTCATACTGCGTGTTAATCCTTTATTTTCCTTCTCAACAACTGAAACGCGTTTTTCCAGTTCCTTCACATCACCAGCAACATCTTCCAGTACATTCTTTACTGTCTCCCTGTCGCAATCCACTGCAAACACCATCTTGTCGACATCAGCTATCAGCTTATGAACATGCTGTTGTACCATCTGTAATAATACTGCGTCCACAGAAGGATTCATACAAAGTGACGGTCCTTGGCAAACAAGAAAAAGTAGAAGTTTAACTACGTTACGATTCATTACTATCTCAACACTGAATTATACTGCACGTAATGTTTGCCATTGTTTTCATTGAGAAGCTTTAATTTAATTCAAACTGAAGATTTAGGCTGTCGCCACGAAAAGCTATCCGATATAGTGAGAACAGCAACGACCCAGGGCGGCACAAGTCGTTCACACACATCGAATATCGTGCCAGCCGGGGAGGTTGGCCGAGACGGTTTGATGCACTAAATTCCAAGTCTTCCCTCCTGAATATTTACTTTCGTCTCAGTGGGTTCCAGGCCTCGCTCCCATTTATGTGTTTCTGCCACGGGCCGAACAGGTGTTCACACCGCAACAAACAATAGTATTAAGAGATCGGCGCGGCGCAGCTTCGCTTCGTTACAGAAATAGCGCCGAAATCACGGTTCTTATGTGTGAACAGAAGCTGCTATCGGGTATGGGTTTCGTACCGGCGCAAAAGTTATCCAGTATAGTGTGAACACAGCCCTAGTAGAAATTCGCAACGACCACGACGACAACGTCAGATTAGCAAAACAACAATTCTGCACGTGCAGCATACGTTTTGGTACATTTCTTTGCCGTCAATGTACGACCACGACGTGAAATTTCCTTATTCGATGTGTTATGGAGGTCGCAAACACACGACGGCGAGTTTTCGTTTCGTTTACTACGGGTTATTTAGGTATGTCCTGTCAAACAATTTGAATACAGTGAAAAGTGGCAGAACGTTTTGGTTTACATGTGTAGATGAAAGGAGTTTAAAGTTGACTTGTAATTGTGCTGTACTCTTTGCTTAAGACTTTCTGTATGCGTTTTGCTTGGAAAGAGTTGATATTCCAGTGACTGTTGCGTTACAATATTTTGCGCCTTTGATAGCAAGATAATAATATCGTTTGCTTAAAATAGCTGATGTCTTGTCACCTTAGCCAAAAAAACAAACAAACAAAAACAAATGACCCATTAATCCATTCGCCCCTAAACCGCCCGTGCGGATCCACGCCCCTTCCATAGCTTGTGACGTCATCAGTTTTAACGGTCAAGGAAAACTTTGTCATCTGACTCGTGTATGGGGAAAAGATCTTTCAAACCATAGCAGAATGAGCATGATTCAGTGAAGAGGACCGGAGAAAAGGGCAAAAAAAACATGTAAAGTTGACCCAAAAATTCCCACGAAATCTTGTTCCACTACCCACCTCCCGAGGGGGACTCCCATATGAAACAGACGGGGATGCTCGTCGTTTCGCTTACGGGTGTAAATTTTGGATTTTGGTCTCGCTTAGGGTGTTCCGGGCAAAGCGCCAATATTTTAAGGTGCCAAGGTCTCGTTTAGGGTTCCGCGAAGAAACACAGAATTACGCGAAGAGAAACAGAAGTCAAATTGTCTTTTTAGTTGTAATGTTTACCGCATTACCTCTGTGACAATGCTTTTAAAACTACTTTTAGATAAAAGCATTCGATGATTACGTCTTTATATCATTAAAACTCATTGCATGTCGTATTTGTGTGTTTTTAAGCGGTCTCTTTTAGGGGTCAAAATTTGCTTAAACCACGCCCGGATTGGTCTCCTTTAGGGGTCACAAAAAGCTTGAGCCACGCCCAGATGGTCTCCTTTAGGAGTCAAATTCCAAATTTCCGACGAGCATCCCCGTCTGTTTCAAATGGGAGTCCCCCCCCCCCGGGACCCACCTACACTTCCTTCCATCTAAAGCTAAGATCCTTAAAGCTTTCCTAAAAACTTTTCCCACCACAATGAAGCCTAGTAGGGATAAAAGCCAAGCAGGGATGTTCCCATGGATATTGCAGGCTTTTATACAGATTATGTCTGTTAGTACCTGTTACCCTCCACGTTTTGAGAGCTGCTAAGAGCTTTGTTTTATCTGCAAATGGCAGACCCAGAGCATTCGCCAACGTTTCCATGTCTTGAAAACACTGCTGAAACTTTCCCGAATTCCAGTCTTGGAATACAGGGTGAGCCCAGGCATTTCTATCGTTCCCAACACTTTCTGCAGCTTTCTGAACAGTGCGAGAGAACACTGGAACTCTAACAAGCAAGTTAAGCACAGCAGAAGCATCACAATGCTCATCAAACACTGTGAACTTAGTCATGTAGTCCTGTAAGTACAGCTTTGCATAGTCCACATGTGACATTACGCGGTAGTCAAATTCAGCATAATCAAACTTCCCATCTCGGAGCTTGGGTAGAGCATTATTGCCATTGATGTTTTCATACTTCAGAAAAGTGAAACCCCTGCTCTCCAATCGACTAGATGAGCTCTGAGAATCAATACCATGACTGGTTCTAAGATTGTCATAATCCTTTAGAACTTTCTTTTTTACAAAAGAGCGAATTTGGTCCACTAAGTCCTTCAGTGCAAGACCAACCACAATCCATCTTTTCTTGCTGTCATTAATGTTTTCTATAGCACTGGTACTAAAGTACAAAAAAAATCCAAAACATGTTATGGCAAGTTGCTTCCCTTTCCAATTTTCAGTTTCTTTCTTTGCCAGAAAAAAATATATATATGTATGTTGCAGTTAATTTTTTATTTCAGTTAGTTTTTGTTTTTCCTTTGTTTAAAATTCATTAACATACATGTACATTACCCAAAAACAATAGAAAAATAAAAATTGATTACAACATATACATACAGGCATTCAATAATTACTACAAAAATGTTAGTTCAAGATTAAAGAGACATAAATTGTGAGTAAAGAATTAAAAGTATTTTTCTGGCAAGGAAGCTGACATTGAAAGCCCATATATGAGCTACCTCCCTAACCTAAGACTAAATGTAGTGAATAAACACAGGAAAAAATAACGGATTCCCATTTTTGGATATTTTAAGGTATTTAAAGAATACCCACAAAAATCCCAAGTTTGGAAGAGTGAGACAAGTCCCAATCAGGGAACTTGGTTGGGAATTCCCTGGTTGGGACTTGTCTCACTTTGCCAAATTTGGGATTTTTATGGGTATTCTTTAAATACCCTAAAATATCCAAAAATGGGAATCCGTTATTTTTTCCTGTGAAATAAGCAGCAAAATCATACTGAAATATAATAATTAGCAGTAGTGGCGGATCTAGGGAAGGGACCCAGGGGGCCCGGGATCCCCCTTATTTTTAGACCAAACTGAGGCCTGAAGACTGAGCCCTCCCCTTATCTCAGGATCTGGATGACCGCCGCCCCACACCCCTCTTATCTGAAGGTCTGGACCCACCACTGATTAGACACTGGCAGCCCAAGCATACTATGTGTGGATTAGGGCTTCAGAGGTCATTTGGTCAGAATATACTAGCATGATAAGTGTATTATCTTTAATATTTCTTGCATTATTACATGTGATTCGGGCCCTTATAGTTCGAATTTTATCACATGTATTCGAATCTATGACGCTAAGAAAAAAAATCATGATCACACGAAATTTTGATTCAAAAAACTCTCTTACCTTTAGTTCATAGCCACTGTGTCCTCAGGCCCATTTAAACACCGTTTGGTTGACTTTCTTTCCATCAAGTACTGAACTCTATACTGTACCCCAGGAGGGGTACTTGGGATAATTTTTGCTACCCCATTATAGTCTATTCTGTGGCCAATTACAGACCCCATCTTAGTCACTTTTGGGCAAATATGTCATTTTCGCGATAATTTCCAATCAATCGTTTAAATAGGTCATCGTAAAATGAATTGACCCATTTTTTTAAATTGAATGAAGAACACTTTACTTTTCAACCACAGTGCAAACATTCTGGTTCGTTTGCTAACTGCAAATATGAAGAACTTTCTTACCCCAAAACCCAGAAAATGTGCGACCACATTCTAGTAACTCTATTGGAAATACGACCCCATTATAGTCAATCCAGTTGTCAAAATGCGACCCCATCCAGTGGCAGCATCCCCATTAGCCCCTTATAGGGAAGTACCCCCCCCCCCCCCGACCCTGGGCTTCTCTTATAGTGTTCAGAACTCGATGGAAAGAAAGTTGACTAAACGGCATTTAAACTGGCTGGAGGACACAGAGTGGCTATGAACTAAAGGTAAGGGAGCTTTTTGAATCAATATTTCATGTGATCATGATTTTTTCTTCTTACAGAGTTGTAGAATCGAATACATGAGATAAAATGTGAACCATAAGGGCCTGAAAAGAAAAAATTAGATTAGCCAGAAGGCCCATTTTTATTTATGCAACTGACACATAAGAGCAGAATTTCAATGGTGTTGAATTGTTTGAAAAATTATAGGGATAAAATTGATTTTTTTGCACCAAAAGGCAGTACGGCTTTAACTTTTCCCATTGATATAGCCCTTGTAGAAATTCAGTATACTTTAAGTATACTTCAAGTATACTTTATATGTACTTCTCAGAAAAAAAGTACATTTGAAGTATACCTCGTTTGTACTTCCAGAAAAAAAGTATAAATGAAATATATTTGGCAAATGTACTTCATTTATACTTCTAATACTTAAGTATACTTTAAGTATACTTCTTCAAACTTCAGTGCTTGTGAAAAATAGTTTCGCAAAGAAAAATATACTTTAAGTATACTTTGAAACTGAAAGACACATTCTGATCTGAGGATCCAAGAAGGTTTGTCAGGATCTTGAAATCACTACGAGACAAAAGTATACTAAAAGTATGCTTTAAGTATAATTTAACTTCAAAATACTATTCAGATCAAATCAGTTTTCTTCTATTAAGGACACAGTTGAGATCATGTAAAGATTTCTTCAGAGTGGTGAAGTATATAACAGGTTTCTAGATACACAGGCACACATTAGCTGTTCAGTCGACTTAATTCCTTCGTAAGGAGATCATCCGCCGATCCCTGGGCGAAATGGCAAAGTCGCACAGTTTCATTCTGGTCATTTCTTTAACGTCTTTCGTGGAATTTTTGCATTTGGCAGCAAAAGATAATAGATTTAATTAAGGCCCGCGTCGTTTTACCTCCTTTTTTACGAGGACCTTAAGAAATAGAACGAAAACTCGAAGCAAAACCATCGCTCATCGTCGGACATCTTTACGTTCGAGGAAAGAAATGTATATATGAAGGTGTTGAATTACCGCTGACTTCTAGTACCGTCCGAACATATACGGGATCTTGTGGATTTCCTAATACGGTCATGTATGAATCATTTACAGCATACCTAACTTCCATATATGGTTTTGGCGGGCGATACAGATTCGAAGGAACATTCGTTGAGCTTTGCCGAGAGTGTCTTCAAGATATTTATACGCTTGGAATATTGCCTTTAATTTATCTTCACAATTCGAGTACAATATGAGTGGAACTTGAAAAGAAAACAAAAGAAGTACACCATGACTGAATTTTGACGATACAAGTAAGTTTTGGGGTGAAAAATGTATCGGTTCCAGTCGTTTCAATATATATCGATTCTTCTTTGCGAGTCATTTGCAAATGATACACGAGTTAACCCTTAAGGTTTACAAAGTCAAAGCTTGTCTACTTCGCCTAAAGTGCAGTGTAAATTCAAAATATGAAACCCAAGTCTTGTTTTCGTTAGATCGCATTTCGTTCCAGTTTTTGTATGTAATAGGTAGACATATTTCTTTTAAAATAAGGTAATGACATAATTTACTTTGTAGCCAAAGAGTACCGATCTAATCATTCTTGTCTATTAAACATTTACTAAAATTAAGAAGAATATTGTGTGATGGTTCTAAGCAATAATTATTAAGTACAAGTGAGTTAAAGAAAGTTCAGAAAGAAACCTGTTAATACACAAGCACCTTCCTTGAAATGATCTCATTGTCAATGAAAATTTTACTAAAATCAAGAAGAATAATATGTTATGGTAATCAAATGCAGTGAGTTCCTTTGATAGGAATAGAAAATGTATATTCTTATGTTGTGGAAACCTATTTCAACAAGATTTGCTATATATTTTTTATAATTTCTTAGTACATTTGTATTGCTATAAGTTAAGGGTAGTTTTTTTTGTTGTATCAATAAATGATTTTACAATATAATAATTATATTGATCCAAGTCTGACGTGTCTCAGTGATTGATAAACATATTGCATTGAGTATACTTTAAGTATATTTTAAGTATACTTGAAGTATACTTCCCATTAAGTATACTTCAAGTATACTTTCATTTAAGTATACTTTAAGTATACTTTTTAGGTGTCGAAAAGTTGTGTACTTAAAGTATACTTCTGGTAAGTATACTTAAAGTATACTTTAAGTACAAATGAAGTATACTTTTTAAAGTGTTTATCACCTATATAAAGTATACTTTAAATGTACTGAATTTCTACAAGGGAGACCATTCATTGTATTTCCATAATTCAAACCCAACTGTAAAAATTACACTGTTAATAGCAAACGTAACAATAAAGCAGACCCAGCAAATTATTTTTGTTGGTGAACTTTCCATCCAGCTAGGTATTTTAAATTGCATTTCATAATTTTAGCACAACTTGAAAGGTCACATGATTTCCAGCTGCAAGGGCCCTATTATTTTTCATTTGAGAGCCTGTTCTATCCCATTTTCAGACACCTCAGAGTTTGTCCACCAAAGGTGAAGCACCTTTCTTAATCCTTAACTTGCCAGGGTATTGATATCAGATCTAATTAATGTGCCTTGGTTTTGGTACATTACTTCTAGTAGTTATTATTAATAGTGGAGCTCTCGCGCGTGCAGCAGAGCACCATGGGTAAAAAAATATGGTAATCTATGCTTCCAAGAAATTTTGGTTCTGAGAAAATCGTCCGTACGTGTACATCCACCCCTTCATGTTAGCGGATGCAAATGGCACACCTAAATAATATCTGTGTAAAACTTGATATTGGACATCCATGTTGTGATCAATTGACAGCTGTCAAAAAAGGGTATCGAGGGCTCAGGTATACAACTCATGGAAGTGATGTTCTTTTTAAAAGTTACCTGCTGACCAGTCACGGGCTCAGGTCAGCTTTTCAAATGGTATAATTCAGTTTGCTCTCTGCTTACCGCCTATATAAGTATAATTAATTGAATGAGGAAGACATTTCCTAAAGCAATCCTTCAAGACTTTCACTTCTGGCCTTGGCTAAATCTATATATTAATAATATTTATAATATTAATTTTATACTAATGGCTCTGATGCTGAGGGAAATCATACAGTGTGTGGAGGAGTTTCAGGGATCTCACTAGCTAATTCATTCTTGGGATATCTGGCTGAAACAATTAATACCTACTAATATAACAGGTAAAAAAAAAAGAAAGTTGAAAGAAATTAGAGTGATCTTAATACAAATGTACCTTGAACTTGACCCTGTTGCTGCTGCAGTTGCCATTGCTAATGCACATAGTTTGTTGTTGATTTATTAGCACTGACTGTACTTGATGTTTTCTTGTCCACTTTTTGACTGTTTATTGGCATCTATCATTTTAAGGAAAAACCTCTGTCATTATTTCAATTAAGTAATTTGCATGTTATAATAATAATGCACCTATCAATGTAAAGCTGGCCAGGTGGGGGAGGCTGGGCATGGGGCGGGGATTTGACATTTTTCAAAAATTTGCCTGTCAAATTCCCGGCTGCCTACAGGCAAATCATTCCAGTCAAATGCAGCCAAATTTCCCCACCCTGCATCTTGGGCTGGACATTGCTACCAAATATCCCAAGGCACAATGAAAATATCTCCAAGTAAAATTCTGCGATTTTTAGTTATAAACGTTGCTGAATCACCAAATATACATGTCGCTGTTACAGCTGCAATTCTACGTTTTAACCATAATCCGACAGCTAGCTGTTGCTTGGTACCAAGGAGCAAAAACTCAGTCTTATCATCATTTAACATAAGACGCACACCTCTGCTGTTCACAAAACTGTAATATCTTTTTAATGTGCCTTTTACTTAAAAATGCCTATTCCTCAGCTTTGAGGATTGCATCTGCTTGTGTTAGCAATAACTACTTAAATAATAATTAAGAAAAAGGGTTTATTAAACTACACTACATGATTAATCTAGCTGGTCCTCCTCTACAACCCACAGCCTTCCCCCTTAACTGCAATTCCAGCGCCACCTTCCCCCAATCCCCCCACCCCACCAACCCTCCAAAAAAATCGTCCATTTTACAGTTACATGTGGAAATGAGGCTGGAGTTGACCTAGCCTGTGTGGCATGCGTTCAAAAGGGAAGGGGAAGGGGAAGGGAATTAGCTTATAGGGCATGAGACCATGCTTGACAGAGGAGGGAAGAAGGGAACGCTTGCAAGGAAGCCATTGTTTTTGCCATCCCACCTACTGATTAAAAAAATGACAAAATTAATGCAACTGTGAATGACTAGCTGTCAAATAAGTCTGGCCACGATGCACGTTCTAGTTGTATTTCTCACAGTGTTTTTCTTTTGTTTTCCTGAAACAAGAAATCCAAGTAATTATAGGTACTATAAAAAAAGTTCAAATGCGGTCGTCCATTTAAAGGGGCTATTGTCACCCGCGCTAGCCAGTGAAAACAAACTTCAAAAAGGTGGCCCATCTTTTTCAATTTCTGTCGGAGATTTCGGAAGACTGTTTTTAGCTGTTGAAATCTCAGCCATCGTTCGAATAGTTCGCAAAGTTTTGAACTAAGAACCGTTCTATGGTGATTACAGAAGAATATTTTTGCATTATTTTGAAATTGTTGGTCCTTGGATTTTTTTTTACGTGGATTTACAATGTGTTCTTACGATTGTCTTACCAGAGGCCGTTGAATTAGCAGAGAATTAACGACGGCTACTCCACGATGAGTGATGGAATCTTAAATGGAATCTTCCTTATAGTTCACAGAAACTTTCTGTTGAGTCATTTTAGAGGCTGCTGGCTCTTGAATTATTTTTTGCATGTGTGTGTTCAAAGTATGTTGACATGAAGCGGCTATCGAGGCGCTTCCAGGCGGATGTTTTTATTAAACGATTACTACAGCGTGGCGTGATGAGTTTTGAGACGAAAGTAATCTTCTGACGAAGGAAATGTTGTACAATTCAGCTAGATTCCTTCTTGTATTTATCTTCATTCACGACAACGATGAAAAACGACCGTTTACTCATCTAGCTTGTTCTCAACGGACTTAGAAAGCAACGGACCGGTACGAGTTAGATTCTGTGGTGGTCATGTTTATGAACTGTTTGTGTTTGAGCATATTTTGGAAAATAGCAGAGTTTATATTTTCCCTTGTTTCTCACGGACTGCTTACAATGGAGCAGATCCCAATGATACTTGGTTCTGTTTTTCTCGACGTCGCAGTGATTCGGCACGATCGAACAAATTTGTGCAATCAGTGTGTGTTTCGCTTCAACACGGATCGAGGCATCAATAAACGGCATCTCTTGTCCTGTCAGCATGCGATCTAAATTAGAAAGATCAGTAGCGAGAGACATTAGTCTTATTGTTAGTAAATTGAAACAGTCCTGGTCTTTACCTTTGGTCTAAAGTTTTGTAGGTCGTTTCTTAAATAAGACTGATTTATTTTGTTGACTACGACAATTATGTTGGTGAATTTTTGTTTGCGCTATATTTTTATGAATGGCACGCGTTTTTACCTCAAAACTACAAGTAAAATTGTCTTAAACCACTTTTATTCTCGACGAAGAATTTGAGTGAACTCTTTCTGGGAAAACCAGAAGGGAAACGTTCCGTAAATTCTATCAAAAGATCAGTTATCCAAACTTGTAAACGTCTCATTAAACATTTCGGAGCTTTGGACGTGACAGGAAGTCACGCATTAAAAACAATAGAATTTGACAGTTAAAAGTAATTTGCATATCAACGCGCATGCTCTCCAGCTGACATAGTCCTTTAAGGAATCGTCTGAGTTGTAACGACGTGTGCCGAGTTACATAAAATCCAGCATAAATCTATTCAAATTGTCGCTGAGGGAATTGGGCTGGAAAACTATTTAATAAGAAATGTAGTGGCTCTTCGCGTCTTTCAATGCAATGATTGTGTAAGAAAAATTAAAACACTTTGCTGTCACTCCTTGAATTTCTATCAGGAAGAATTGGATCCAGCAGAGCACACAAAAGAAAACTGGTAGCAGGGAAAGAAGAGCTGAAATTCAGCTCTTCTTTCCCTGCTGCCTTCTTGCAGATCTTTGAATAAGAAGGCAGCAATTTATTATTAAAGTAAGACCAGCAAGAAGAATGAAAGGCCTCAACCAAAAATTGCCAAAAGTTATAGATCGCTTAATCGTCTTCAATTATCTTGCTGTTGATAAGGCAGGTTAAACAGCAGATAACAAGCACATAGGCACCATGACTTTTCCTTTATTTCTTCCGGCGAGTATAAAACCGACAAGCCGTTGGGAGTCAGTAAACTCATCTGCTGACAGGCCTTATCCTTCATGCGGTTCTTTAACTGCTTTTTCCTATTCTCCTTTCAAGCTGAAATTGACGCCTCCTAACGATGAATTCCCGTACAGAATTCTCATCACGCTTCACTAACAACATATGTTTAGTTACTCAAATAGCGTGATGTTGATTTCAACCAATCGGAATAGGTATTAAGTCCAAGATTAACATTAATTAATTCTGACCAATCACTCAACCAATCGCTCAGAATCTGAGCGTGAAAAATGGAGAAAACAATGGTATCCTTGAAGGCGTTCCTTTCCTTTCTCCCTCGTGCGCCCAAATCCCCCACTTCCCCTTCCCCTTCCCCTTTTAACGCCTGCCACGCAGGCTAGAGAAGACCTTCTTTTGATACAACTAACCCTTCCTCAGCTTGATGATTACGTAGGTCATGTCGTTCTCATACTAACTAGTTTTTTTAAAGCATAATTTCCAGAAAAAAAGGAAAAAGCTTTGTCTCAAAACAAGGTCAACCTCAGCCTCACGTTGACTCAAAGGCTAGGATACTAAAGTGCACAACCGTAAAATGGTCTATTGATGTAATTTGAGTTGCTCTTTGCTTTACAAATGTAATTGTTACACAAGGTATAGTTTAAAGTTGAAATGCATGGTCTCTTCCACATGGATTGATAAAAATTTGTGCAATCTGGCTTTCTCAAGTCCGAAAATACCTTGTGAAATGCTTTGTTGCAGTGTTTATTGGCCGCTAAGACTCGATCGTATCGATCGAATCTTTCCGTGCTCTTCATATTTGTATGGTTTTCAATATGTAAGTATTTCTAATAAAATACCTACCTTCTAAGCTGCAAAGTGCCCATCGTTAATCTCTAGAATATTTTTTAAGTGTTCTAGCTCAGAAAATCACTCCAAACTGTTGATGATCAAATTAAAAGAACTTCGAAATGGACGACGAACATTCCAGCTGAAATCTGAAACTGAAACTTTTCTGGGAATTTTCCCGGATCATTTCCTGTAGCTCAGACCCTTCTCTCCGCCCCGAGGGTCGGTGATCGCGTGACCCCGACGTGTTGTCGCTATAAATAACGCACCATCACACGAAGAATTATGGCGAACTTTACGATCTTGCAAGAAATCAAAGGTGAATGGAGATCAACTAAAACAGTGGAAATAATGGGCTTAAGAATTCCGGCGTATTTTACTGACGATCCCCAGCTACTCTACGACTACATTGTCAACTTCAAGACGAAATCAGACGACGTGTTTGTAGTCAGCTATCCGAAAGCAGGTCAGTTTGTTAAAATTATTTTTTATCTCACAGACAGCCCAAGTCACATATCGTGGTCTCTGGAGTGAAGGAAATGTGATATTACTCTAGAGAACTTTCCTTTCAAATTTTGTCCTATTCCGTTTCTTATGTACGATACGTGTGCCATTGGATTTTAGTCATTTTTAAACCTCCCCCAAAGAAAACTAAGGGGTCACCAAGGATTTAATTAAAGAAAATGAAACTGCCAAATAGTTGCAAGCAAAGAAAAGGAAACAAATAAACAATGGTAACAATGTGGTCGTGTAAATTACATTCACTCTGTTCTCAATCTTGACTGTAATTAACTTACAAGATCATGCAATCAAATTGCGGATGTGAACAAACTTGAAACATGTCAAGATCCAGAGAAATAGGCAGCCAACAGTTAAAACCTATGAAATTATATGAAACTAAAACCATCGAGAATGCAATCACGTAAACCAGTGCAATTGGTATCAGTGATGAAAAAAAGAATAACGAACATTTTCGTGTTAAAACTAATAATGCAGTTTGAGGGGTCCATTAATAGAATAACGGAAAGGTTTTTAATTGGAATAATGGAATGATGCCCTTTGAGGAAAAACAAATTAACAAACATTTTCGAGAAGGGAAATTGAATAATTAGCACCCCATTATGCCTCCTCACTCGACTCCCCTCAAAAGTTATACACCAGAAAGTTGAAATCACGCGAGTCGACTCCGGACTATAGACCGGTAGCAATCTCTTTATGGTTACTGCATGCGAAACCTAAGCACGTAATGTCGTCGTTTGCAGTCGCGTGGGCTGTAATATTCAGGGCTAGACTGATTTTAAGAGAAACGGGGGATTGCAAGCAGTCAGGGGCACCCAACGAGGATATAGTTCAAAACCACTTAACATAGCATTGTTGAACGTATTTTAGTATTCAAACGGTAGATATAGGCATATTTTTATCCCCTAAAAACTTTTCATCTGTTCGGATTTCCTAGCTGAAAGTCTAATGATCCGAAAATTATAGGGACAAAAACTTACCTTCTCGAAAATTTTAGCCAGGAAAAGGCTCTCGAAAATTCTAGGTGGCCTTTTTTTAGGGTCAAAATCCGTTAAAAATGGGTAATTATACCATTTTGTAGATGTTCGAAAATCCTAGGAGAGGCAGGCAAGCAAGAAGTTTTACAACAAATGCTCCGAAAATTCTAGATCTCAAATCGTCTTCTGAACAGATATTTTCCCGAAAATTGCCGTTGGGTGCCCCTGAAGCAGTCTAACGACTCTCAACTCCGGAATAACAAGCATCGAAATCAAACCGCTAAACAGATGGAGTCAGTCGGCGTTACCTTTTTTGCGGCAAAAAGGCATACTCGAAAATTTTCCTGCAAGAAGTCCAACCACTTCGCCGTTATCAGGCATTACATGACGAACTTGGAAGGGAAAAAATTATGCTGTTGAGGCTATTAACTAAAGGGTAGATTGAATTACTTGTGGCTTATGATTAACTAACTGAGGCAAGAGAGCCCATTTGGCAGGTTAAGGACAGCGAGGTGTTGCATTATAATCAGTTTCCGGTCAGTACGTAACGCCCATCAAGCCTACATCAATTAAGGGTTTCTGGGTAACTGAACGCCTACCTCTCCCCTTCACTTACTTCTCACTTAGGGCAAAGTTGTGAATTAAGGGAGGGGTAGGCGGTGAGTTACACCCAGGAACCTCCATTGATCCCAATCAGGTTTTCCAGAGGATAAGGTTATGAGAGAAATCGAGAGCTAAAAAAGTACAAAGTGGACTAAGCTGAAATAAACTGAGCGTAACAAAAAAGATTCTCAATAACCAGCAAACAAAAGGAATAAATAAAATGAAATAAATAATAACGAGATCACTGAAATTTCCTGCTCGACATAACCGTGATAACAACGTCAACAACAGCGACTTTCATAAAGAACTAAATACCCAAGTAAGGCACAGTATGCATAAACCAACTACAAGGCTGAATTATTGAGCTTTTTTGAAAAGATAGCCCATATAGTACATATGTTAGTAATCTAAGTGTATGTATCTTCAATTGTGTGTTTGTGATATGTTTGTCAGTTTGTCAGTTTATTTTGAATGACTTTCATTTTGGCATCAACCGGTTAAAAACAAAAATCTTGAGATTCTAAACCTAGATCAAGGAAAAGTAGTGAGAGGTGGAAAAAAGCCGTAAGATCTCCCAGTTTCTAAGAGGAAGGACTTTACTTTCCAGGGCGAATTTTGGGTTTAGTAGTGACGAGATCTTCTTCATTGCTTCTGACGTGTAGACGTCTTGAAATGCTAGATTCAAGGTTTTTAACAGTGAACCTGCACATTTGGTGACAACAGTGAGTCGCGGTAGGGTTCTTTGTAGGCCTGTTCTGGATTAGCCTGAGAACCGCAGACGCATTTCCGGTCGTCGCTTAGACTGAAAAACAGAAAGTAAACTAGACTAGAAAGTAAAGCCGAAAAAAACGGATGCTCTTGCCGGCTAGTTCTGGACCACCCCCTTTTTTTTCTAATAAGGGATCGTCAAGCGGGGGATTTATTGACCATAAGCGCAAAGGGCTGGGTGGGGAGGGAGAAAATAAACGGTCTATGGGCATCTTTTGAAGAACTGAAACTTGCTTTTCGCAGAAAAAGCAAACGAGCCAGGCGCTAAGGGGTAAGGGAGAAGAACGTACATTTCTGTTTCCGGAGGGATTCGGTTCACAGGAGCATCGACTGTTTTGAAATTTGGGCTAGTTTTGAATTGCCCCGTGTGAGGAAATCTGGATTCCGGATTCCGGAATGCCGGAAATTTTTGCTTGTGGAATCCGGAATGCCGGGCTTTGGAATGCGGAATACATCTCAAGGAATCCGGAATCCCACTAACGATTGGAACTGGGTCCAGAATCCAAGTTCCTCTGACAAAAACGGGAATCCAGTACCTGGAACCAGGAATCCACGGTGTGGAATCCAGAATTCAGGACTGTCTTGGATTCCCTAAAATGGGCAGATTTGAATGTTATATTTTATCTCTTAAAGGAACAACTTGGGTTCAAGAAATTGTCTGGCAGATTTACCACAATGGAGAAGTCAACAGCAAACGAATTGAAGACCGTGTTCCATTTTTAGAAGAGGCTACTAATTCAAAAGCTTCACAACCGGACATTACTAGTTTACCAAGCCCCCGCCTTATTAAGACACACCTTTCTTATGAGGCTATACCAAAAGGTGTAAACGAGGAAACAACGTGCAAGTATATTTACGTTGCTCGAAATCCAAAAGATAATGCTGTATCAAATTATAAATTCCTGACAAGCTTGGGGAAAAATACTGGATTGAATGCATCGTGGGAATTTTATGCCAATCTATTTGTTCAGGGAAAATGTAAGTTATATAATTATTTACGTGGTAGGAATTAATGCTTTTATAGTTGAACTTCCATTGGTTATGGGCAAGAGCTGCCACCCTATCCCAGACTTAGCACATAAATTATCCACCATATCCCAGAGTAACTATAAACAATATTGGTTCATATTTTCTGTATACGATGATGATGATATTTCTCTTTTCTTCGTAAATTTAATGGTAAGCGGTTTAAGATTGTTAAATTCGTGTTTTCCGTAGAGATCTTCAAGAGTTTAAATCTTGGACGTCAGGAGCCCATGACTAGAGAAGTCATGGGCTCGTGTGGACGTTAAAAAGAATGTTTGTTTTCGTTTTATGTGGTCACACATGACAAAACACGTCAGTCGACTGGTTGTACTGTAGAGTCGACCCGGGTGACAGGTATTTATCTCATACACATGCTGTAATTAAAGTCATATTCGGGCACATTCGGCAATGTTCAAAAGGATTGGTGAACTAAAAATTAATAGAATGTTCGAGTAATCTTGCTATAATACCTTAGAAAACTCAGAAGGGAAGAACGAATGTAATGCCTAGGAGTTTGATTTAATTGTCGCATAGCCCAGCTAGGGTGAGTTCAGTCCATGCTGAACAACAGGAGCCTAAAGGAAGAAAAAACGCTCTCAGTCGCAGGCCCCTATAAGCATATATTGGAAGGTGTCTCATTAAAAGGTCGAGTTTGCTCATGTGTACATATTTTTCTCTAAACTGGTTATGATGCTTCTTAAGGTAGCTGAGACAAGTAGTGTTAGAGGCATGGCAAAAAACCTTCATGACTTACTAGTCTTTATCAACCTACACAATTGTTATACCTTGCAGCAACTTGGAGTCACTGGGATAAACATGTACTTGGATGGTGGAAACACAGAGACGATGCTAACGTCTTGTTCCTTAAATATGAAGACTTGAAAAAGGTTTGTTATCATTATTGGAGAATTACCGGTAAAGTCGTTTTCAGTTTTTTGAAATTAATACTGTTACATTAATTTGGTTTGAGTTGATTAATGCTTAGTGGTGGGTAGAAAACCGAATGAATATTAATTAAGCAATTATTGAATGAGGCTGGGTATCATCTGAAGATTTATGGAGATTGAGGAGGGTGCGGATAACACCCTCCTAGTTTAAAAACAAACTAAAATAGGCTTACCTCCATCGATGTTAAGTTCATCTTCGATAGTGCATGTTTATCGGCAAGTTTAGGAGATAAAGGATTGTTCAGTTTAGCAAATATTTTCCAAACAGCAGACCCCGAGATGTCGTCCGTCGAGTTGTCTTCTTGCTGTTCTGGCTACGTTTTTAGCTAATAGTTTGCCTTATTTTTTCCTCGTGAAACGAGTGAAATGTTCTACCATTTTGTATTCACTACCGAAACAACTCAACCTCGTCCCCAGGTCTTCTCGGGTAACCGTTCAATAACGTGGCAATTTTGCTGCACGATTGACCTCATCAGTTCACATTTCGTAAAATTCTTCCAAATTTGTGGTCGACAGTAGCTGGTTATGATGAATTATGCGTGGGATTTTAGCCAATCAGAAACGGAGAAATATTTTCATTGAAAAATAATATGTCCTGTACAGAGGAGAAGTGTGACGTCACATTACCACAGCTTACCATGGTAGCAAGTTTTATGGATCTCAACAATTTTTCTTGAAAGAGATGGCCATTTGATTGTCGAACGATGGAAGAAAAGCATGGGCTATCCAGTTTTGCTCCTGATTGCAATCATGCGCATGAAAGTCATTCAAATTATTCAAATCAAGTTCGATATTTGCTACAACACGGTTTATAGAGATCGAGAAGTTTTGCTACCATAGCAACGTGACGTAACGACTTCTCTTGTGACCCTCTCTATCACATGTTGTTTTTAGCATAACCATGCTTGAGACAAACCTCTGATATTTAATTTTATATTGTAAAGTAGCTCTGGCAATGATTTCGACCTGTTATGTTTTAGTTAGTAATTGGCTAAAATATTATTTGAGGAAGCCTTTTTCTTTTAAGTCCTGTGATTTACTTGAACGTCCTCGCCATTTGGTCATCGTTTGTTATGTACTAGGACGTATACGAAAAAAATAAACTTGGCACTTGAAACTTATTTTGTTTTATTAGTTTCACATCAGAACTAAACATGAGAGGAGGCCTGATTGACAAGTAGCCTCAAACTCAGACGTTCTTTTGGCTAGTCACGCAATCCTGCCTTGGTATGCTGCGCTGAGCGTCGATGGAATAACCTCCCATGCCTACCTTCTTTGTGCGGGAAAGTAACGCGTGACGAAGCGCAAAGAACGTCTGCGCGGGAGGCTAGAATTGGCCGGGACAACGCACCAAAATTCTGAAGATTCAAAGTCTGAATTCCCCATCTTCTCTACCAGTTTTCAAGCCCCTTTACCCCTTTGTTTCTTCTCCTTAGGATCTTCTAAGCCATGTTCGTATGATCTCACAATTCCTGAACAAGCCCTTGTCAGATGAACTCCTAAATCGCATCACAGAGCAGTGCACTTTCAATGGAATGATGAAAAACGCGAAAAGTTACGTCCTGCGTGGAACGGAGGATGGACCAAAGCTTCTGCGAAAGGGCGTGGTGGGAGACTGGGAGAATTACTTTACTCCAGAGCAAAGTGAGAGATTTGACAAGGAATTGTTAGCAAAATTAGACGGAACTGGATTAGAGTTTGAAATGTAGCAAACTTGTTTTCATTAAATATATTCGAAATTACAGAAGAGGCCTTTTAAAACTTTGGGCAGACTGCGAAAGGATTCCTTTGCTCCAGAGCCAGGAATAAGAGATTTGATAAGGACGGCTGTACTTGAATTTGAGAACTGAAGCTGATATAATTTTTGCCAGATTGCATCAAACTTCGAAAATAATCTGTCAACCACTTTAACGAAATAAAAAAGGGTGAGTCGTATACACTTTTCCCATTTTGGTCTAGAATCGGGTTAGGTTTTCGAAGGAACTACGGGAGTATATGAACGTATTTAACGTTTCAATTCCAAATGAGTCAGAAAGAAAGAGAAATATGCGAATTCGAACTGGATTTGAAGAATTGTTTTGTTTGCGTTCTAAGCTAAGTAATGGTTAACATAATTTTTGCCTAAATGGACAGGTCTGAAAATGGGCATGGATTTTAGAGGTCTGGTCTGAAAACAGTGTGAAAAATGACATTTTTTGGTGTGAGATAGGGTCAGGACTTGGGGAACCAGGTGGCACACACCCACCAAGAATTCCCGGGAGTACCCCCCGGGGGTAAAAGAAAACATAAACATATTTTTCCGTTTTTGCATTGAATAAATATTCCAGTGATTGGACTGAATGAAAATTTAGTCATGATTAAATTGAACTGATAAAGATAGGATCGATCAAAATTAACAGCCTTTTTGAAAATTCAAATTAAATGGCATTATGCATAAAAGATTGGATTGAATAAATTTGCTCGGGGCAGTGTAAAATGGACTATTGCTGTCAAGTACTCATTCGCATGGTGAAAAATAATAGTCCGCAGTCTGCGTCACACTGATCGATTTAACGGCTTGCCATAATTATGGCGAACTTTCCGATCTTGCAAGAAATAGAAGGTGAATGGACATCAAGTAAAACGGTGGAAATAATGGGCTTAAGAATTCCGGCGTATTTTACTGACGATCCCCAGGTTCTGCTCGACTACATTGTCAACTTCAAAACGAAATCAGACGACGTGTTTATAGTCAGCTATCCAAAATCAGGTAAAATATTGTCGTTATTTTAATAGTTGTTGCTGTTTTATCGCAGGTAGCCCAAGGTGAGGTAAAAATAAAATTAGGAGATCGCTAAATAGCGCAATATATATGTTGTGGTTCAATTTTTTCCTTGGTTTAAATTTTATTTTCCTTTGTTTCAAACTCATTATCATACATTACCATACCCAAAAACAAAGGAAAATAAAATTTAAACCAAGGAAAAAATTGAACCACAACATATACACGGTTGCATACGTTTTAAATACAGCATTCGATTCATTATGAGTGCCCCACTTTTAACGGCTTTAGACCTTCTCCCACGACTTTATTTCATGTGCTCATCCCCAGGGCCTTGAAATGGTGTTGTGGCCAGGGCTTGGTCTAGGAGTGACTTGATTATAGACTTCAAAGCTACTTAAAGTTTAAACTCAGTACTGACACTTGACTTTGAACGAGCAGTTAAAGGGAAACATGGTATAAACCAGTACTGGGTCGGTGGTCAGTTTGGGATTCTCTTCTTCTCAGTTTCGTCATTTGCTGATATAAAACTGTAGATTAAATTCTCCTCTAACTTGCCCCTAATTTTTTAAAATCAAATTCAAAAAAAGTATTATTTTCTGTATCCCTAGTAGTGAATGAGCTTCCTCGCACGTCCAGTTGTAGGGCATCACACGTAACGCTTTCTTCCCGTTTCAGTGCGAACGTTTGCATGATGAGCCAAAGGAATGTGTGAAAATCAGAAAGGTTTATGCTAGTCCGTAATCTACTTCTCTTGTTTTGCCTGTGTAGAGCAGAGTTTAAAATACAATTCGTAGCCCACTTTTGGTACCTGGTCCTTAATTTCAAGTCTGTGTTTTATATCCAGTCCTCAATTTGTACAAAGTACGCCTTCCGCAATCCGCAGTCCTTACTCCATGTTTCAAAATGACCGGCTATTCGAAGGACTTAACTTAGAAATTGTATTTAATAAATTCTTTATCAAAAAGTAGAAGTCTCAGGGCCTGTCCTCGAAATAGAGACTCCTGTAGTTTTATTTTTGTGAGCAATAATTCTTTGCATTTTGAGTGGTCGCTTGGTTACGGGAGGTTCGACTGTATTTGCGACCTTGGTCTGATTTCAAGGAGCGTAAAAGACAATATTCCCTGAGTAATTTCATATTTCCTACACTGAGAGAACAAAACAAACAGCCATCTGCTTCACGAATTAAGTAAAATCACCCCATGCTCAATATTATGCTCTGCTTCATCTTCAAGTATTTGGGAGTCAAAGCAACCACGAGGGCGAAGACAGCAATAGTTCTTCATAGTTTGCAACATACGCGTATAGCCCTCGCATCTGCCCGTTGAATTTTTCACTCTCTGTATTACTTTGAAGCTAGAAAACAATAGAACACTCAAAGGGGCAAATGCAATGGCGATATGCGCGTATACTGAAATTGAATGCACCCTATCAAAGCAACAACAACTTGGCACGTACAGCACAGTTCTGATACATTCCCCTCGGAGTCACTGCATGCGGGCTACGACCTCGGCCAATTTCGTTTCATGGAGAACGTCAGACACAAGGCGACGATTTTCTTTTTTAAACTTGCAAACCCTACTTAAGAATTCTGTTTGACAAATCGAACGAGGTGTAATTAAAAGCTCCATATTATGCTCTTACTACAATGACGTTTTTCGCTTCAAATCCTATCAATTGCAAATATAAATTTCTTCACAGCAATGGTGTCGCCAGGGTTTTTTTTTCCAGAGGTACCCACAATTTTCTAAATCTATCAGTTCTCTCCCTCATCGTCTAAAAATCCCGGCCTGATTGCCTTCTCCTTTCTTTTGAGTATCGTGGGGTTATACAAGAAGGGATGGAATGGCAAATGGGTCGAAACCTTTGTACAGTTCCTTTATCCTGCAGCTGCAAGCAGAGGTATCTCTTTTGCGTGGCTGTTAATGTTTTATGCCGTGTAAACAAACCAACTAAGTGACAGACAAGCCACGCAAACGACTTCGTAAAAAAGCCATGCAAGAAGGTCCTTTAAGTCCTTAAAAAACAAAGAGGAAGAAAAAGGAAAACAATTCCCTAGTAGACATACTACGCCTCATTCAAAGCGAGTTCCAAACAGTTTGAAAAAGTTTAAAAACTGAAAGGAAAACTCTGACTTTCGGGGTATTATCCAAAAGGTAAATACATCAAAGACTCTAATCTATAACAGCATTGTTCGTTTTTTGAAAAAAAAAAATTGCAATTTTTGCCCCGAAGCCTGCTTGTTTATAAACTCAACATGTTAAACCGAAATAAACGCCACCCCCAGATAAACGCCGCCCTCAATTTAACGCCGTAGATTGAACCAAAATTACCAATAAACGCCGCACCCTTCGAATAAAAGGCGCACCCACTAAAGAATGCGGCGTTTATTCGAGGATTGTAAGGAAAAATCCGGTACAACTCAGTAGAAAGACACCAACCAAACAGTTATGATTCTACCTCAGCAAAAAAGCCGGACATTAGAACTTGCTATATCTTTCTGTATGATTTATCGTAATTGTTGTCAGTAATGTAACAAATGTGATTTTGAAAGAAATGGCGCCCTTACATAAACGCCGCATCAGAAACGACAAATATTATAATATTAAGCCGCGGCTTTTAGCGAAAGGAATGGGGTATGCTTGTTCTTTGTGAGAGCACTTTGAAATTATCATAGTCCATCTTAATTCTCGCTTTTAAACAAATGGCAATGAGTAGCATTAATAAAGAAGAGCTGTTATCTCCAATCCATCAACAATCTTGGACAAAACTGTTGAGAAAATTGCATATTTGGGGGGCATTTTTTCTGAACTTCGTAGCTGACCGATTCTTCCCTCCCCCCCTCCCCCTGGAAGCAGTGTTGTTGGGTCTTCAAAAGAAAGCCGGATCCCTAAGCATTTGTAGGAAGCAACTTTGAATTGGGGGAGGGGGTATTCTTTACGCAAAGCCGTTGATTTGGAAATAGTTTTGTTGCGTTAGGTAGTGTGCATTAATGAAAACATTTTCTCGAGTAGTTTTGTCCAGGATTGAAGGTTTCCCAGATCACGCCACGATTGGTATTCCAAAGCACAAAAAGCGGCAAAATCACCCCCCATATCCGCGAAATCCGGCTAAAACGCAGTAAAACGTGGCTCCGTATCACAGACCACAATCGTGGATAAATCTTTACAAGGGTCAGATACTGCGCATGCTTGTGCTATTCATGAACACACTGAATGTTAGATACAATGGTTTCAACACCATCGATGTGTCCCCTGCGATCTAGGAATCGCGTCACCATTTGCGCTGCGATTTGCCCCTGCTACGAAAAATCGAACAACGTTCCGCGAAAGGTGACTTCCATCGCGCCGCGAATGGTATTTCACGGCGCGAAAGGCGGCAAAAGTCGCGTCGAGAATGCTGTGACAATCAAATGCGGATTAAATGATGACAGCAATCAAGGAAACTAGTGTTTTACAGAACTGCTTCATCCCCTTTTCGCCTGAGACAATTGTTATTTTCAGTTAAAGCTATTGTCGGGGTTTTTAGTCGAAACAGCAATTTCCAGTTGCGGGTATTTCTTCTCGAGTTCCAGGAGGATGTCTGCATTGAAATGGTATCTTAAATAATTTGTTGTCTCTTTAAGGAACAACATGGCTTCAAGAAATTGTCTGGCAGATTTACCACAATGGAGAAGTCAACAGCAAACGAATTGAAGACCGTGTTCCGTTCTTAGAAGAGGCTACTAAATCAAAAGAATTGCGACCAGACATTGTTAGTTTACCAAGCCCCCGCCTAATTAAGACACACCTTTCTTATGAAGCTATACCTAAAGGTACAAACGAAGAAACAACGTGCAAGTACATTTACATCGCTCGAAATCCAAAAGATGTTGCAGTGTCAAATTATAAATTCCACACAAGCTTGAGTAAAGATACTGGATTAAATGCACCTTGGGAATTTTATGCCAATCTCTTTGTTCAAGGAAAAAGTAAGTGATGTTTTTGTTCAGGGGGGGGGGGGGGAAAGGTACTCCATATTAGGCCTTTCCCGATTGTGTTTGGCAACGTTTGAGCAACTTTTGGCGTTTGCTGCAACTTTTTGAGGTTCTAGCAGCCTCGAGCAAATTGTGCCTTTCTGAGCAACTTTTGAGCAAAATATAGAGCACATATCAAGGACGAAAAAGTCAACGATTTCATAAAAAACTTTAATTCGTGCGAATTTCTTGTATGTTTATCAACTTTTTAAATTCTTTTTTGTAAATTGAAAATAGCTAAGTTTCCAGCTATTTTTCTTGACCGATGTTAGTAATTATTGTGAAGAACGAAAAACCGAGCTTTTGAAATTTAGGGAGCAAGTTTTTGGATTTTTGGCAATTTTTTAGCAACTTTTTGGCATTCCAGTGAGCAACCTTCCAAAATCGGGAAAGGCCTACTCCCTATAAGACCTATATGGCCATTAGAAGGCTCCGCCCGCAAGGGGTACCTTTTCAGGCTTCACGGATACGAAAGGGTTGTGATTTCACTAGTTGAGCCTTATATGAAAAGTTAGGGAAATCGGTCATTTCGGTCTGTAGTAAAAAGGCCCAATAGGGCTAACAGATGCATTTTTTGGCTGTAAAAAGGTCGAGAAAACGTTGTGGTATTGAGATTTATTCATATTTTAAAGACGGTGCATTTACAGCAGTTAAATGCGATGCAATGTTCTAAACTAGGTATGTGAAAGGAGTACCATTTGTCAATAGAAGGAATATGAAAGGGGTATTTTTTCAGTCAAAATTGGTAAATTATAGAGAAAGGGCTTGGACCTGAGGGCGAAACCTCCCCGTCCGAGAGAGAATAGAGAACTTAAGCAACGACGACAACGACGGCTACGAAAACGTCAATTAAAAAGTGAAGTCGCACTGCTTCAAACTTTATCACACTTATTTCAACTCGTTCAGTTCGTCAAATGTTGGCAATTTTTTCTGGAGTTGAATTTTAAAAGACTGTATTGAAGGTGTTGTCTTGTGTTCACGTTCTCCACAAAACGTGAATTTCAACTTGAATCTGACGTTTGCCGTTTGCCGTATACGTGAGTACCTCCCGGGGATTTTTGTAGTTGAACCTCGGTCGTGGTGCTGAGAATCAGGAGCCCTACGTCTGCAGGGCGTTTTAACATGAAGTCAAGGCGGCCATGTTGGTGTTCCAAACAAATCCTGAAAGGGAGCTGAACTCTTTTGTTTTTGTGCCAACAAATTTGCATACCGTAAATCCTCTTTTAAGTCCCCCTCTCAAATAAGCCTTTCCCTCTAATAAGCTCCCTTCTTTTCCGGGGAAGAAGGTTAATAAGCCCCCTCCTCTCTACCCACCTTCCCTCTACCCACCTCCCCTCCCCTGATTATTCTTCACAAATGAATGATAGACTGTATAAATCAATCACGACTGTATAACATCTTGTGGACTGATCCAGGATGGTTCGTTTATTTACCAACTGGAACTTCGGATTTTATTCTGATCCTCGGCTGCATGACCTCCAACCCTCTTGTACTTGAGCTTTTTCGCTTCGTATTCTAGTTCTTTATGGAGAACTGATACCATCGTCTTTTCTAAATTAAATAAGCCCTCCTCTCAAATAAGCCACTGTCTCTCTTAAGTTACCCTCAAATGGACCTGAAATAAATAAGCCCCCCCCCCCCCGGGGGGGGCTTAATTAATAGACGATTTACCGTAACTGCTGGCCACGGAAGTGAAAACGCTCTGTTCTATATTAGGCATCAAAATTCGAAACCACAACCCAGACTAACTATGAAACCGGAAACTCTGATTCTTCTTCTTCATACCAATTATTGATCGATTTCCCATAAAAATTGAAGAAAAAAAAGAAAATAATTTTTCATTGTCAATACATTTATAGACCATAGAAGTGACACAATCCAAGATTTGCGCCGGCTCGTTGTTCAACTTGAAATTTGAGCATTTTGATGTTATTTCTAGGGTCTTTACGAGCATAGACGATGAAAATTATTAAATGGCCCAAATAATGAGGAAGGAACCCCACCTCTTCTCACACCAAACCGGAAAAAAACGGATCGTTTCAAAGAATCGATCAACTTACACCACAGCCTACACAGCAGGCGCTAGTTTTTCTCGTTCTTCGGGCGAGCATAGACTGCGAGCAGTCTCTCTTTTTCTTGAGATTTAGTGAGGGGAGGGCACTCGCGCGCGAGCGTCGAACGGCGAAGCCGCGAGAGAGACGCGAGAAACGAGGTCGGCAGCCCAAGAAGAAAACAGATAGGCCCTCTTTTTGTACCTCTCCCGTCTCGCGCCTTCAGTCACGCGCGTGGTCATTTGCGTGTCTCCCACGTTTTGCTCGACGAACGAAGAAAAAAGAGAGACTGCTAGTAGTCTAAGACGAGCACGAAGCTGACGTGAAAGGAGCAAAAAACGGCGCCTTCCCACTTCGCGTGTGTCTCGCGTACCGCTTCCGCTTCGTGCTCCCATCGTGAGAAATAGCGCCTGTTCTGTAGGCTATGTACTTACACAACTGTTATACGTTACAGCACTTTGGAGTCACTGGGATAAACATGTACTTGGATGGTGGAAACACAGAGATGATGCTAACGTCTTGTTTCTTAAATATGAAGACTTGAAAAAGGTTTGTAATTATATTGAACGATAACTGTTGAGCAATTTTCAGGGGTGAATAAATTTATTACATTTGTTTTGCACTGATTAATGCTTGTGGCTAGAAGAAAAGTTTTTTACTCCAACTATGACTCGAACGTTTTCAAGTCATGAAGATCATAGTACGTTTTAAAAATCATAGGAAGTGTACCTTCTGGTATGTTGTGACGTTGTACCATTTTTTCTTGCTTTTGTTTTTTGTTATTACAAGTTTGCACAATCGTCCCCCAGAGCAATCCCATATTGTAATTTCAGGTATGACTCACTGGCAAACTCAGAATTATCAGAAACACTAGTGAAGGCAAAACCACAACGACAAACCAGTGAGGGTCGGCTGGATCTTTAGTAGACTGGATCGGTAAAATCTTGAGTACCAAACTTTAAAATCAAAACAGTAAACTGATCCTTACGGCAGGAAGAAGGATGAAAAAAATATAGAAGGAAAACAAAAATAAAGGGGTGAATTATATTTTCCCGATATTTCGGATTGTAGCACAAAACTTCAACGTGGTATGCGGCTACGTGGCTACGCGAGGGGTAATAGCTTCGAAGCGGCCGGGTTTGCTACGTAGCCCCGTAACCGCGTAGCCACTGCTATAGGGGTATAGCTTCGAAATGGTCAAGTATTCTGCAGGTAAGCTATCTGAGCTTCTAAAATGTCTCTTATTGCGAAGGCCATTAAAGTACATTTGTAGTTCAATTTCAGGGATCATTGATAGAAGCAAACCGTTCTAAATAGCATTTTTATCAAAATACGCATTTATAATTAGATAGTCACGACTTAAGTGGCTTGAGCATCTTCTGTACGGTTCTCAAGTGAAGCCTTTTTTAAACCCTTTGTTTCTTATACAGAGCCGTTTTAGTGTCGTCACGCAACGCTGCTCCCCAAGGGAGGGAGGAGTGTTGCGTGACGACACTAAAACGGCTGTGTAGCAGACTATTTGTTTCTTCCCTAAATAGGATCTTTTAAAACATGTTCGTGTAATCTCCGAGTTCCTGAACAAGCCCCTTTCAGATGAACTCCTAAGTCGCATTACAGAGCAGTGTACATTCAATGGAATGATGAAAAACCTGAAAAGTTACCTTCTGTCCGAAACAGAGGATGGACCAAAATTTCTGCGCAAGGGTGAAGTGGGAGACTGGAAGAATTTCTTCACTCCAGAGCAAAGTGAGAGATTTGACAAGGAATTGTTGGCAAAATTAGACGGGACTGGATTAGAGTTTGAAATGTAGCAAACCTGTTTTCATTAGATATATTCCAACTTTATAGAAGGCGCCTCTAAAAACGTTAGGGAAACTGTCAGAGCAAAATCAGGAGCAAAATAATAGACTTGAGAAGGAAGTGAGGAAGTGAAAATTTCTACAAGATCTGTTTTCGTCCCCTCTGCCAGGAGAATGCTTCATCTTTGTTGAGCATGCGCGTCATGTTGCTAGGAGCTTCCGGCCCGGCGACCCGGCTACGGCTACGGCTACGTCGCCGTCGCCGTGAGGGACGTTACGATCTGACAACGGTGACGTCCATGAAAACGTCGCTGAAAAATAGACTTCTTATCCCTTTAAACGTTTTCGCGATTATCCCAATTCGCCCTGTTACTTAAAAGAAGAGAATTTGGTCACAGCTGAATAGAGGGGACCGCACCCGAGTTCAGACAGAGATGGTAGAATTTATCGCCTTGCCGTTCCCGTCCTCAAGTAAACTAAAACTTTGGTCATTTCACGTCGTAGTTGTGCAGGGACAGCAAAGAAATGTACAAAAAAGCGTGATGCACGTGTAGAGTTGTTTTTTTGCTCATTAAAGCTATTGCTCTTTTGACGTTCTCGTTGCCGTCGCTATCGTAGTTTCGTAAGGTCCCTACACCTAGGGCGGCGGCCATGACAACGACGTGCTACAAGAATCCTTCAGGGTTTTGCTTTTTCGTGCAAATTAGCTCTTTTGTTTTTAAACCCCATTGAGATTACCAAATTTAAACATGAAACAAAATACGAAATGAATACTGGTCTTAAGAGTAAACAAGACGTTATCAAGCAAGTAGCCTATCAGCTCCAGCAGGAGCCCATCAAATTTGATGGGCTCCTGGCTCCAGAGAGTTGCTCAGCCTTCCTGTCAGGAAGAGGCCGGGTTTAGGTATGGCCTTGGTTTTGCCTTCGCCTACTAAATCGCCGTCTGCTCTTTAAAGTGTATGTGTTTACCGGCCATCATGTGATCGATTTCCTCGCGCGAGGTAACTTTATTCCGATTCTAAAATAACTCAAGACGAATTACCTATGGAATAGGGTGTATATGGGGGATGCCCTCTCTGTCCCCTTTATAGTCTCTTGATGTAACTTTATAAAGCATGAAAGAAGGAGTACATTTTCACGTTTGGTCTGGAACGCTTCTCATAAAACCCAGATGATATTCACTTAGTCTACACTGGCTTTCCAGATTATGAAACTTTACTTTACTTATAGCGTTTTGGAAGTATATAGAACTAAGCGTTTCCCATCTGACTTATTATGGCATTGTGAGAGATGCCCCTGCCCTACCCACTCTAGTCTCCCGTCGTTTTTTCATTTCTTCCTGAATTTTCGGGGAGCTTTGCGTGACATCCAAAAAACGGCTGCGAGGGAGACTACCAGTATACCGGAACGACCCTTTGTTAACAATGATTACAGGCGTTCTCTCGCTCTCGCTCCCCCGTTCCCCCCCCCCGTTTTCCCGGTGTACAACTTAACTCGCTCCCCACTTACCGCCGCGCTCTACTATCTGAACGCCTGGAACAGGCTATAGGTGACGCACCGGTGTCGCGTAAGAGGCGACCGTTGAAAATATAAGAGACTTTGTATGAGAAATATATTACTGAGATCTGCGAACACTAAATAACGCTAAACCTTACTTTTTCTTAAATGAAATGAATAAAAAAGACTCACCTGCAATGTATTTCACTGTGTTTTGGTGTCTGTTTGTCGTTTTACTGGTCTTTTTGGCTTTATTGCGTAACCACTGTTACTCGTTTCATAGAACAAAGTGAAGGCTTAGCCTGCGTGGCAGGCGCAAAAAGGGGAGGGGGAGGGAGAAAAGCACGAAAGAGGGGAAAGGGAAGGGAGCGCCTGCTATAAGAGCCGGAGTTTTTGTCATCCGCCCACCTATCAGCTCTGCTGTTGTTTTAGAATTTCGTGAATTATTAAAATGAATTACAAAATGGTATTGAAACCTTAGCGAGTTATATGAATGTAAGCATATTTGTCATCGTGATCGTTTCATTTTTTGTATCACGCTCTGAGTGTTTCATAATGACAGCAAGTCTAAGTTATTGACGTTACTAAAAAAGAATTCATTTGTTCAACTGTTCTACAAACTGTCTTCGTCCTATTCGCATCGCAACTATAAGCGGCAGCACTTCCCTTCTCAATGAGAACTTCTAGTTTATTTGCTTATTGTTAAAAACTATGTTCACTTTTTTGACAGGGTCACTACCTCGGCCACCGCGGACAGCTTTACCTGTTCCCTGAGGGCATCGAAAATATTCTGGGACCTGTAAAGCGTTAACCAATAAAGGGATATCTTCCTTGTCTACTCTAAATTCAGCTC